CTAACAAGTATTCCGTGAATTCTGTTTGATCTACGACATTCAAATGTTATGTACAACTATATCGATGGCATAGTGCTATAAGGGGATAAGTGTTACTTAACGCCTTCTTGCATGATAACATATTTGAATACTACAAACTTGGGGGCATGTGCCTATCTAGTTCCCGTCATTGTACATACGTCACATAAACCACAATGAGGCTTTGAAAAAAGGTGATAAGTAAAAATAGAAAAATATTAAAAGGCAAAATGGTGATATCTACCACATATCACCTTTTTATCAATTAGGGTATTCAGCATTGTGTCCTATGCTAAAAGGGGATAAGTGGTAGATACGTCTTTGTATAATTGAAAATTTTGTTAAATCTCTACAAAGCTAACCGTTTAAAATATCATAACACGCATTTCTAAATCATTTAAAGTATTTATCATTTTCATTTCTTGTTCCAGAATAACATGGAAAGCAATAATTTTAATGTTTATGTTTGGTAAACTCTAGAAAATAACGTAGCTAAGATAAAATTATTTGGATTCTAGATTATTAAATGTTAATTTCAAGGCGCATTATTTTTGAAAAGAAGAAAAAGTTTACATGGATGACTTTTGGTGCAGCGTCTACTTTTGCAGATAAACAATTCATATAGCAGGTATTTTGTCACATTATATTCGTATTATAGTGAAGATTTTGATGTATATATTTGTCTAAAAATGATTTCATTGAAAGTGTTATAGTACTCGGATAAATTATATTGGATAACACATTAGAGGTAAAGTAACATATTTGGTTTCCTAAAGCCGTGACAACAGTATCATTTGTATTGCGAATATTCTGTCACTTTAAAAGATTAAAACTTTCAATATAATTCCAGTTTTATTTGATATAAAAGAAAATGATAACATTTTTCAAAGTTGTTCAAATTGATATCTAACTTATTTCTTTTTTTTAGAAATGGACCTACCAGAAGCAAGATATGCAAGGTCACGTCTTTTACAACTAGAGCAAAAGAAGATGCAGGTGAATGAAATGTATGAGAAGTCCCTCGACCGCTTTATTCAATGTCATGAAAACAATGTCAGAGAATCTTTACTTAAACTGATCGCAAACCATATTTTTCATCTTGAGAGTATACTCGCAGTTGTTTGTGAACAAGAATATGAACAAAAGCTGATTTTAAAAAGATATACCAGTAGTTCATGTTAAACAGAAAATGGAGATACATTTTGAAAATTCAGATTCAGACGATGATGTTCCTATCAATGAACTTATTAGAAGAGAAGCGAGTAATGCAAAACATGAACGCAATTTTTCTGATAAAACAATCGAACCGACTTTACCGATTGAAGATATTAACTTAGATGAATGTCTTATACAGGTTTATGTTACAAATGATAATGAAGAAGATAGTGTTTCAGATTTTTTCATTGCCGATGAAAATGGTAATATTTTATGCAACAATTCCTCTCTTAAAGATGAACTAGATAATGATTTGTATGCACCAGTTGATGGGCTACCATTCGATCCTATTGATATAAGTTTAAATGATTCAATAGGAAGTGAAGTTGAAATAAGTCTGGATAATAATATTCTATCTAGTATTGAATTACCAGAAACAGAAAGTCAAGGTTCCGAAAATAATGATTCAGGATCTGAATATGTGCCAAGTACTGATGATTCTGAATATGAAATATCACCCAAAGAAAATAATAATCAAATTAAAAATTATGCACATACAAACCTTGAGGAACCATGTGTACATTCATATGCCAAAACTCCTGAATATGAAAAGAGCAACTCTAGGAAACGCACCAGAGAACCTGATAAATGGCAACGTGAAATTACAAAAAGAAGGCGGCAGCATGGACAATGTTATCAAAATGAGAAAGGGGTTACAGTTCCGATGAAGGCATCAAAGGCAATCAGTTGTAAATGCAAATACAGATGCACAAGTAAAGTAAAAAAAGAAAGAAGAGAGGAAATATTCAACCATTACTGGAAGTTGTCATATGAGACTCAACGAAACTTTATATCACATCATATAAAAGTTATAAGTAAAAAACGGCGAACAACAACTAATGATGAATCTAGAAGGAAATTAACTTATGAATATTTTCTTCCGCTCAATGATGATAGTGATGATATGATTCAAATTTGTAAAAGTAGCTTCATGAATATTTTAGATGTTGGACCAAAGGTGATCGAGTACACGATGAATAGAGACAAGATATATGACACTAAAGATAGAAGGGGTCGGCATAAAAAGATTGAAGTTTCCAAAGCAGCCAGAGATGGAATACGGAAACACATAGACAAATTTCAGAGAGTAGATTCACATTACTGCCGAAGGGATACCGAGAGACAATATCTTGAAAAGGGCTTGTCAGTAAATAAAATGTATAGAATGTATGTGGAAGAGTGTGAGAAAAGCAACACAATTCCTGAGAAGCTCTGGCTGTATATCTCTATATTCAATAAGGAATTCAATCTTGGTTTTCATCACCCCAAAAAGACTTATGCACCTTTTGTGAAGTGTATAAAAGTCTTGATGATGCCAAAAAGAAAGAAAGAGAGAGTGAATACCTTGAACATCAACAAAGAAAAGAGCAAATTCGACAACAGAAACAGAATGACAAAGAAAAGGCCTTGGAAGATACAAATACACGTGTAATAAATTTTGATCTTCAAAAAGTTTTGATTTCACCCAAAACAGAAATAGGTGAAGTTTACTACAGCCGGAAGTTAGCTACATATAATTTTACTGTATTTGACATTGTCTCAAAGCATGCATCATGTTACATGTGGTATGAATCAGTTGCTAAGCGAGGAAGCAATGATATCTCTTCATGTATATACAAATTCAATGAAAGTCTTGGAGCTGTTGATCATTTGATATACTACTCCGACAGCTGTTCTGGACAGAACAGAAATCTTCCTTTCTCCAGTATGTGTTTATATTGTGTACAGAATATGCCTATTAACACAATCACTCACAATTTTTTTGAACGTGGACATTCGCAAATGGAGGGTGACTCTGTACATGCCACTATCGAAAAAGCTACGAAAAAGCATGATATGTTTGGTCCTACGGATTGGATGTCAGCTGTGTCGAATAGCAAAGCCAGTGAGCCAAGATATAAAGTAATTGAAGTGGCTACATCTGATATAAAAGATTTTAAGGATTTGGCAGATCATACTGTGGCTAATAGAAGCAAGGCAGCAGATGGTTCAACACTTCAGTGGACAAAGGTACACGTATTTGAATACCGTAAATCTGAGCCAAACAGAATTTACTACAAGTATGAAGTTAATACTGAATTCAAATTCATTGAAATTGCACGCCCTAATTTGAGAAGAAAAATGAGAACAATTGAGGGCTATGCATTAAAGAATGCATATGATAGTCCGATATGTATATCGAAAAAAAAATATGACGATTTGTTGAGTTTGTGCCAAAGGCAAATAATACCGCCAAGATACCATTCATTTTATGGTAGTCTACCCCACAGAGAAGACCATGAATCAGATGAATGTTGAACTATAACTCAGTATAAAGATTTGATTTTTTTTTTCAAAATGATTTAATTGTAAGGAAACGGTCCATTGGCATTGTAATAATGAACACAGCATGAACTATGAAATCATGCAAACATAATGAAATACTTTCATTTATCAGCATAAACACTTATATAAATACACTTCTAAGTTGTTTTTGATACATCATGAATAACATTATTATGAATATGAACTATAACATGAATTGTGTTTCAAACTTGAGATTGTGGACAATTAATTGATTACAATTTGTTATCCTGTTTCTTTTTAATTGTTCTTGTTCACGAAGGTAATGAATTACTTGTTTTAATGTTAATACATGATGCTAATATAAGCACATGTCACAAATTTATGTTAAAGGTTTTGAAATGAAATAAATTTAATTTTAAAACTTGGCGTCATTGTGCATTATTTTTCCTTCAGCTATGCCAAAATAGGATTTAAAAAATACCTTTGAACTAGTTTGTTATCATTTGTTACTGACAGCTAACAGGACTCAATCACTGTTTCAATAATTTTAAGTGGAGAAGTTGAAAGTTGCATGTCGGCATATACATGTATGTTAGAAAGGCATATACATGTATGTTAGAAAACAACCGAAATATTGTTAAACACTGAGACATTCTTTGATCATTTGATTTTAAAAGTAATAGAAAGTCAGGTGGTAAGTGGCAGTTGTCACTGTATGTTGACTTATGATATGGTTACATTGTTTATTCTAAAAGGAGTGAAGTGGCAGATAACGCCTTTTACCGAAATGCAACTTGTCATTTCAGCAAATGTTATAAGGTGTTAAGTAACTATTAAATGATTTTTGAACTAACAAACGACCACACAATAGGTAAAAATTATTATAATGCTTTTAACATTACTCGTTTAAAAGCATGCAAAGTCATTTTTAAAAATGATAACAAATAAAAGCAGCAGACAGTTTTTCTTGATTATCTCAAAACTGTCATTTTTCACTTATCCCCTTATAGTACTATGCCATCGATATATTTTATAATGGATGCATGTTTGACTACTTGCATTCTAGAGTCTTCATCTATGTTATATGTATTATACGTTATGTCTATGATGTACGATAGGTGGAACACGGGTACTGTAAAGAAGTTGTAAATTACCTTCAAACAAGGATTTATACTTGAAATAAACTCTGGGATAGTTCGTACAATTGCTGCACAATACATTTATATTGACATGCCTTATATTACTAAACACATAAGTATTTCTGAAGAAATTATACACTTAATTATCCAGTTCCAGTACATGGCCAGTTCCGGTTTCATCAATTCCGTTATATGACATTTGATTTGTTTTGTTCATAATATCTAACCAACTGTTGGCAGTTAATTTTTTATGAATTGCCGGTTTTCTAGAAACACGACATTGAATGAGTCGGAACAGGTCCTGTGCCGGAACTGGACAACTGATAATAACACGAACGTGACTACATTTTTAAACATTTATTTACATAGTACTTCATTTCACATGCAAGTGGACATAGAATTGTTTTCATATTTCACACTTTAGACTGTTGTCTAAGAAAGTTAATGACACAAAGGAAGTGACGTCGAAAGAAAGTTCTTAAGCGCTGCATTTGTATTCGTACACACACCGTCTAATGATGTAATGGGTTTAATGTTCCAATTCCTCAAATAAGCCATGTCACAACTGCATGTGATTGTTACGCCAGTAAGATCAAAATCAGTAAGATGTGTAAGTGACGTCACAGAGACCGGTATCATCCGCAGATTCGTATTTGCTAAATTTAGCTCAGCAAGTAGTTTGTTGTTGTCAAAAGCATGTGTAGATATGTAACGAATTGGGTTATCTGCGAGGCTTAGCGTCTGAAGTTTGGACAGACCACTTAAGTCAACATCCTCAACCGAAATTATTAAATTCTTGGAAAGGTCAAGGTCTGTGAGATTCATCATATTGTTTAAAGCTGATGGAATTCTTCTGAATTTATTCGAAGCGAGGTCAACTTTTGCTAGTCTGTTGGCCGATGATATTTTCTCTATTTCAATAAATTCTAGAGAGTTACCGAGCAGGTTCAAACTGGTTGTTCTTGGAAAATTGTGTAGTACATCGGGAAAAGTTGTCAAATTGCTATTTTCCAAAGTAAAAGTAGTGATAGAATGACTTGGTCGCGAGCAATTGACGGCAATAACGCTTGTACCATTGGCCCCTAACCGACCTGAGTGTTCCAAATAAAACGACGTCAACCTGGGAAGGTTGGTCAAAGCGCAGGGTATATTTCTCAACCTGGGTGCTTCTTTGATATCAAGAGTTATCAAGGAGTTATCAAATCCTCGGAAATCGCTTGAGTTCATGCTCTCGAACGGAATGCTGGAAATGGTAAGGTGTTGCAAACTTGTAAGGGACACAAGCTCGGTTGGCCATACGGCGAATGGAGTCATATCTATGTACAGAGTTTTCAGAGATAGTCCAATTCCTGACATTGATGAAATTCCTAAGTATTTCAAGGGATTGTTGGTTACATCGAGATAATCAAGGTTCCGAAGTCGCCCAACTGCGCTGGGTACGGATGTTAATTTGTTGTTTTGTAGTTGAAGAATAGTTAGTGAATTTTCAATGCCATCAAAGGCATGTTGTTCAATAAAAAATATGGCATTGTTGTCGAGCTGCATGTGAATGGATGTTGCACGCATACTGGACAGACTGCGGAACACGTAGTTACGTATTGCTGTAAGGTTATTGCTGTTTAGAAACACAATAATGTCCTTAGTGTGTAGGTTCGAGGAGTGAAATACTGGCACGGACGTTAACTGTTTGTTGCTGCACATTATTAGGGCGTTGTCCGCTAAACCTGAACACGAACATGGTGCCGGAGCAGGGCAATCGTCCGAAAACACAAACGCTTCACAACACGGGAAGGAAAGCACTGCAAGGCATGCAACCTGTAACAATACAAAAATCTAAATCAGTAAATAAAATACCAATTGACTCTGTCAAACAGGTAATACACATTGTCAATCAAGTGTTGATTCAATTTAAACACCCAAGTTATAGTTCAAATTCGGTTTACTTTTTATCTTAATGCTGATCCGATATTCATTAAACGACTTTGAAAGGAAATTGACCAACACACCTTAATATACTACTCTCTTTTTTATGAAACATATGTGATGTAATGCTTTGGTTTAACAATAATGTATGTTAACATAGTTTACAGTGTGGCAATACCACGTGACATTGACGTCATTTTCGGCATCATTTCCAAGACAAATGTTGCTCGATTCGGAAAAGAAAATAGCCGTAAATATTTTATTTCTGTACCAATTTCTTTGGGATATGCACCAGTCTACGGGGAAAAATATAAGCTTTCCATAGAATATTGGATCTTCGTCAGTTTATAAGCCGTTTTATCAAACACTTTGCATAACCTTAGAAGTTGCTTGTATTAGAGCGGGCTTCAGTTGCAAGCTATTTCGTTTTCTGGCGTTATCTGGTCTACGCCAAGATTAAAAAGTCAGGTTTACATCAACCGAGAGTACGGAAGGCAAAACTCTACCTAAATATGTTCATATTTTTATTATGAATGACATAAATCTTTCATTTTTCTTCAATTGTCAATTCTGGCACCAGTTCCAAGTCGAAAAAAAGGACTACAGTTTAAAGCAGATTTTAGAATCCGTTGCAAATGCGAAGCAACATGCCTACCGTTCTCTTTCAACAATTTAGTTTTTCATTGATGATCTTTCACAGAGAGATTGTGAAAAAAACTGATTGTTTCTTAAAGCAATAACACTTACTTGTATCGCAATAGTGCACTTCAAATCACGTAGATTTAGTCCTGTCGGAAAATAATATTTTGGTTTCGTTTTGAAGATGTTTAAAGTATTGCTCATCTTGTCCTATGTAGTAAAATGTGTTTGATTCTATTTCACAATGGCGAAATTGATAAGAAATATATGTGCTCTCAGTGAGAGAAAGAGTTAAAATAAAAAACACCTTTGTATGCTATGGAAAGGGTTACACTTTAACGCGAGTGTTGTAAAGCTAAAGGTATTTTTTTTCAGTTTATTTTTGTAAAGTGTAACTGACAAACACTGACACTCGTGAATGTGACGAATAGGTTCTTCTGTCCTCATAAGAGAGACTTTTAAAAGGTATATATTTTTTCTGGAATTGTTGTATAATAAATTTCTATAGAGTTTGATAAACGAAATCACAATTTGAACTTGGAAATTTGCCGTGTTAATCTGATAGTATTGTTACTTAGTTGCATTACTTATGATTATCTATTTATCAAAGAGACCCAAAATAGCCATGAATAAGAACGAGAATGGGCGCCATGTGGAGTAAACAAAGTAGAAAATAGTAAACAGATAAATGATTTTACAAACCAACAGCCATCGATCACAGTCAAATTTATTGAAACAAAACATTCAAAAAGACGGAAATAACAATGATTATCAATAATTATATAAATATTTATATTAACATCTGTAATAGCAACATCGGAAAGATCTATGACTGGGGTCCATATGCCACTGATGCGTCCATTGAATGATAGATAGCTAACATAAACTTAGTAAAATTACGATTACATTTGAAGAGTATATTCAATTTTTATCATTCAACTGTCAAATGACTTACTTCTTTATTTACATATCAGATAATTCACTTATTTAGTATATGCTTCATGTTTATCATGTTTTAGATTTTAATGTGTGGTCCTTTTTTAAATCTTAAAATGCTACAAAAAGCCTGTTGAGGACATCAGCAGGTCATGCCGCGTGCAATAATCCATGCATTTACAGCCAATGACCACATCGATAAGAAATAAACCCAAATAGCCCTATCGTTTTTATTCAGTTGAAAGAGACATTATTGTTAAAAAGTTCTACTCGATTTAAATGTTTTCAAACCATAAATATTCCGTTCCCTTCCTCTCTTTACAATGTATATTGGTGAGCTCTCTGATAAAGCTGAGTTGGCTGATATAATTAACTAAATTTGTCAGATATGCAGTTTATCAACAGAAATAAAAGCAATTATAAAAAAGATAGTGTTTAATAGTGTTCTTAAGTTAACGAAGTTATATCCAGTTCACGAAAGACGGTTACCGTGGGTGTAAAAATATTTTTATCAACGAGTGCCACTGTGTTTAAAAGCTGAATCTATCCTACAGGTTCTTTATATATTATATATGGTTATACGTATAAATAGCTCTTTACAAAAGAATAACCTTTGACTTTGACTAAAAGTGCCGCGTTGAGGCGTAACCCTTTTCACTGCATACAAATCGAAGTGATCCTAGCTAAGTCAATCAGAGCCTGAAACATTTTCAATTTTGCCGTTTTGGGCGATATTTAGGGTTTCTGTTTTCTATTCCACGTTTAGTATTGCTACATGACACAAATAGATTTTTCATAATCATTACCGTGAAAGAACAATGATTAAAGAGCAAATCAATTTCTTTACAAATACAGACAACAATTTTACGACTTTTAAAATCACTTATATAGCACAGCGAGTAAAACTCATTTAAATATTCATTTGTGTTTATGTAAAGCGTATAGTAAATAAAATGTTTTTCATGGTTAACATAATTATAGAAAGAGAACGGAAGGCATGTTGCTTTGCATTTGCAACGGTTTCTAATTCTGCTTTAAACTGTAGTCCTTTTTTTCGACTTGGAACTGGTGCCAGAATTGACAATTGAAGAAAAATGTAAGATTTATGTCATTCATAATAAAAATATGAACATATTTAAGTAGAGTTTTGCCTTCTGTACTCCCGGTTGATTTAAACCTGGCTTTTTAATCATTGCGTAGACCAGATAACGCCAGAAAACGAAATAGCTTGCAACTGAAGCCCGCTCTAATACAAGCAACTTCCAAGGTTATGCAAAGTGTTTGATAAAACGGCTTATAAACTGACAAAGATCCAATATTCTATGGAAAGCTTATATTTTCCCCCGTAGACTGGTGCATATCCCAAAGAAATTGATACAGAAATAAAATATTTACGGCTATTTTCTTTTCCGAATCGAGCAACATTTGTCTTGGAAATGATGCCGAAAATGACATTAATGTCACGTGGTATGGCCACACTGGTTTATGTGCTTATGAGACAGGATTTGTGATATTATCGGAATCCTATTATCGAATGACAGGATAATTTACGAAACAGGATGATTTTAGGCATATTGCAAACTGACACTATCTTAAACCATCTATGCAAGGAAAGTATAGAAGATAGATTCCAAGATTCCCCGAGGTGCGGGCTAAACTGCACACGAACGCCGTTGTCAGAAATTATCACAAACAGTAGCCATTAGTTTATACGTACTTAGTAGAATAATTTTGTAAATTTTATTTTAAAAAAAAAAACTCACCAAGGCTTTTACCATGGAGGTATCAAGCAATGTCATATTTTGCAATAACGTATTTTATTGTTCTTCTAAGTATATCTGAAAAGCAAATGCATGTTTTTAGAATTGTTATTTTCTGACGCTTTACAATTAGTGTAGATGGTTGGTGTGGTTAATGCAGTATTAATACCAACTCAACATTAAGACCACCTTGAGTCAGTCCCGTCTGTGGTCTTAATCAGTCAGAATTCAAAATTCATGAGTAAGATAATACATGTATCGGAGCATAAATATTCATGAAAATCTTGAATAAGCAAAATTTATATCTAACGTTTTGTTGTTTTTGTTTACATGCTCATGTTAACCAAGCTAGGTTTGTGTAACTATTTCAGGAACATATATAGCCTATAGTCCTGTATTCATTATTTAGAAACATTAACAACACATTGACAAGCAAAATATTAAACTTTAGAATGTTTTACGATATAAAACAAGCAACACTTGACAATTACATACACTATTAAGAAAAACAATACCTTTCGTTGGTTACCAAGTACAAAAGTGTAATAAATAGGAAATAAAGATTTCGCAATGTTATGAGTAGGTCATCAGCGAAAGATAAAATAACAACACCATATGCGATGATTCGTATTCACACAATATCTTATCTTGTACAAAGAATGTCATTATAAACCGACATGTACACTTCAATATCGAACTTGTTCTATATAAAATGAAGGGGTCAACTTATTTGTGTATATATATTTAAATGAAAAGTTTTGTATTTTAAAAAGAATTGATATTCTTACTGGTTTCAATCGTTTAATTATTTAAAGAACAATGCAAACTTGTTTAGCTGCAGAGGATAAAATAATTATAAATAAAATTGTCAAAAGAAAATTAAATTTATACACATTTTTAATAGGTTATGAAAGATCAAAGTGGCAGCACTTTGTAGAGTGACAATGAATAGATTCATCAACCACATAACTTATGCGTGAAAATAGCGGCCCAAATAATAAAAATAATAATAACAACAACAACAACAACAACAATAATAAAATAATAATAATAATAATAATAACAATTAAGAATAAACCAGAATTGAAAAAAAAAGAGAAATAAAAATGATAGCATTTCGGTGGCTTAATGGACCTTTAAGTATGAGTTATGATGTTCTTCACATTAGAAACTTGTGCTCAGTCTTCTTTTGATATACACATACAAAATCATTTTTACTTCAAAATAACGCACCATGAGAAGAAATATAGACAACCAAACAAAAGAAAAGTGATTCCAAAGCTTTTATTATTTTCTTATAACAACAGGTAATTCTAGCCGACAATAGATGTACCCCTGCATGTATGACAGCATGTATTAAGTCTATCCTGATTGTAACTTCCACAATGACTTTTTGTACAGCCAGAATGATGGTCACCATACTCACAACCTACACACATAAAAATAGATCAAATTGTTTAATCAAACAGTGATGTTCCAAGTTATTTTAAAAGACGTATTTCTCTTTGTGTTTGGGCGACCAAGTACAGACATTCTGTTATTGTTTGTTAACATACCATTGCATATTAACACTATGTAACTAATAAACACATTCTTCTCCTAAATGTTGTCGCTACATGTATAATCAAAGGGAAATAACAATGAGGGTCCCAGATTTCAGCATGTCATTTAAAAATGACCAATGAAAATTATTCTTTTATTCAGTTCTTCCCTGTAGATTTTACAGGAAGTTAAATTGATTTTAGACGGCCTTCGGCCGAAAAAGACAATTTTATTTACTGACTTTATTATATGGATACATAAACAATAACAGTACAACCTGATGAACGCTCTCGCTTTATCTCAAGCTGAGACTGTAGCTGTATGCAACGAACATAATATTATATTATTTTATTTACTTCAAGACATTTTAATGTTTTGTAAAATGTAACGTAATGTAATTATTTATATTACCTTTGACGGGTTGTTTTATTCTGTCACACGTTTCACAACAAGCACCAGCGGTATGTGAACTGTAACACGCCCTTGGTTTCTGCACGGCTAATTCCGCACATGTTAGATGATAATGTGTAACCGATCTATCGTTTTGTATATCCCCCATTGGACAAGCATCTAAAGCAAATGTTAGAAAAAAATAACTGTATTGTGGTTTAATGCGCTACTTATTAACTTTATTTTCTGTAACAAACATATCCCCCTTCTGGCTGAGGCGTTGCCTTTGACGCATCAAAATTGCATCCACAGTTTATCCCTGTGTGATTGTAAGGAGTGACTAAATTACTGAAGTCTTTGCATCTCTAAGCAGGTGAGGTGTTTTTGACTCCTGGTGCTGTCTTAAGTTTGTACCACCCGAGGTTAGCCAGAATCATCTTTCTTGTTTCGGCACCATGTGACCTTAATTGTGTTGGTGCGCCGTAAAGTCAACCCAAACAAACACAACCAAACATACATTGTAGAACCGGCTTAATGATACAATATACCTTAAGAATTATTATTCATAACTGAACTACATAAGCGCCCAGTGCAGACCAAGATCAGCCGACACATCTGGCCTATAAACTGAATAGAAACTAAATGGTCATTTTGATACAAACGTTTATTGTACGTTTAATTTGTAACTGATACTTTAAATAATTGAGATTATACTCTTACCATTTGATTGAGGAGCATTGGCATCATGCACACATTGTCCATTTATGCACCACTGTAATTTACAAATATGTACATTATAATTTGATTGACAAAAAAAAAGGTTGATAACAAATAGGTTTAACTTAGATTATAAAGGTAAAGTAATAAATTCGGAAGGAATTTACTCTTAAAGCATACGTTTAATGCATAGTACTGTCACTTTTTATTAAAAAACAATAATAAGAGATTTGTAAGGTTACAATACCTACGAGACCATGTGAGGTTATCAACGAATATTGCGACATTGTAATCAACTATAAATATTTTAGTTATTGGATCATAATACCTTTCTGTCCCCGCACGACGTCTTCTCGTAGGCGTCCATTCCATTACACCAGTTTTTAGCCGTCACGTTCGTACACAACAGGTTTTCACATAGCTTGGAAAATCCATTATCCCTGTATGTGTGAGCTCCCTAAAATACCAAATTATCAAGTGATTGAATGTTTAATCACTTATCTGCTGAGTTTCTAAATGGATTTGACCAACTTCCGGTTGTTTGAGACGGTCCAATTTTAGGTATACCAAGATGGCAATGTAAATTAGTCTGCCAACTTGCAATGCATGGATGTACCTGCAGTCTATCATGGCTAATAACTGGTGGCGAAGGTAAATCATTTTTTCGATTTGGAAGGTCATGTGTTGAAGCTGCATGTCAACATATTTCAAAAATGTATATGTACTAGTATGTAAGAAAAGTAAAAAATATCCAGAATTCAAGAAATTATTTACATGTTTTATGTAAGTAACGACTGATTTTGCAGCAATTGATACCATTTCTACTGTGTTGCTAACGCAGTAAAGGCTATTTTTGCATATTGTGACCTATTTTGTTATTTTTCGTAGACTTTAAGTGCCGTTTGCAATGTGTTAGATCACTTTCTTTAATTCACTTGACATTTTTCAAATTTATATACATTCTAAAATTGTTCATGAAAATTAGTTGCGAGCTGAAGGCATGCTCTAAAAACAGACATGCCAATGGTTGGATACCATATTTACATGCACGGCATAAGTCGTATATTTTTATTGTTTCCCGGTCTTCGTAATTATAGTATAGGGATATAATTCACTTATATACCTTAAATATGAATATGAAAATAGTTAAAGCATTTCACAAATAAGTTTTAAATCATGAAGGATATAAGTAATATTTTTACTGTATAGATACCCGACAAAAAGAAGATCCGCTTCCAAATTTATTCTGGCATTGGGTGTCCACGGAAACAGATTGGGCGTTCGCCTGTTTGCACGAATCGCAACATTTGTATTTAAATCTGTTCTGGAGACATTTATAAGGCGTGCTCTTCACAATTTGTGCACATGTTTGGTGATTTTCTACAATGCCCTCCTGGTCACCGGCAAGACAGTGTGAATCTATCATAATAGCAAGAAGGTCGGTAAAATCGAAAGAAAAAGTGAAACTGGACGTTCTAGAATCATGGATACTATCCGAGTAGAAATGGTAACAATCGGGTTGAAGAATCGGTTAGACAGAACTGAATTATGAGCTGTTTTGAAGCATGCAATACATCCTTTATTCCGCAGTACCGTCTTAAGCTAGGTTCATTTTAAATTCAGTAAAAAAATATTGTCTAAACTGTATCTGCCAAATTACGTATTTGTGTAAATTTAACAATATTGTACAACAGATTCATTTTCCTCCTTCTGAATACTAGTATATCTAAAATATTTCATCAAAAGGTCATTTCGATAAGTTAATAATTATTCTTGAACGCACAGGTCATGTCTTTTTCCTGTAAGACTTTTACGTACTCAAAATTTGTATATGCGAAGTTTTTTTTTATATTTTATATAATACAACCTGCATTTATGTATATAAAAGGCTCGCATTGATTTTACAGATGTTTTTTCCCCTTCAATATTATCTATTATCATAAAATTTAAATACATCTTTGTTAAATGGTTTTAGCTTGATATGTATTCATACGTTTTCCTATATTTATTTACGGAACAATATAAGAAAACTGCTCCTTATTTTATATCGCAAATATTTTGAATTATTCACCTTATCTTAAATTGTTTATCAATTTCTTACCTGAATGCGACGGAGCTCTCTGATCCTTCTTGCAAATGTCCTGTACACACCACTGAAATAATTAGTACATCAAATAAAACTTAACCTGCAGAATTTGTTTAATGGATTTGCCCAGCTGTGAATTTGGAATAGTGCATTCTTTCCAAAAGTAAGCTTCCAGCCGATTGCATGGGAGTGCCAGATGGTTTGCCTCTGTATATAGTGTGGCAATACAGCTTAAGGCTTATAATATAGTCAAAATGCGGAATGGTTTACCAAAACATTTTTTTTTGTGAATAAAATAATTCAAAGACATAACATCAACAATGGATTTTAATAGTAGCTTACTTTAAATTCAAGGATAAAAAGTAAATTAACACCGAATGTTTACGTAAACAAAGCAAATTTGATAATAACACAATTTTATTTTTAACACTTATTTAAACAAAAACGACAACATGAGTAAGATATGTAAATAAAAGTTCAGCTACAATACTCAAAACCGGGCTTATTCAAAAATTCTTTTGCATATTAATTAATAACATTTTCAATCCCCATACTTCACATCCACAACTAAACAATAAGCTATTTTTAGCATTGAGACGTTCTAAAAATAGACATACCGAGCCTGACCCACAAGCGATACCATTGCCAGCTTCGTTATAGTAACAGCCGTCTCTTGTCGCATCATAACACCAAAACTTCGTGCAAACCTCTGTGAAATTACCTTCATATTCATGCTGTGCCAAATAAAATGGTCAATTATTCAATTTCATTGCATGGATATATAATTGACTTTATAAAAAATATAAGGCAAATGGTAATACTCTTAATTGGCCTATCTACGCCTGATTTAGAAGGGAAATAGACTGTTATCAGTTTCAAAATAACGCTATTCTTTCTTCCGCTGTATAAAAGAAATATATCTCGGTCACTCTTGCCACAAAGGTCGCCATTTCATCACGTGACTGAAAGTAGTTCCAATATGTCGCCTTATTATGTCACAAAACCATTGCAAAGCATATAGCCGAGGGGATCAGAATGGAAGCTTATCTGACCTTTGTACAGTACGAAAAAAAGACGAAACATGCCAACAGAGAATATGTGTAATGCCCTACTTGCATGATTGTATAAGATTTTAATTCTACGTACCCGACAAAAGTAAGAACCTTTCCCATAATACACCACACAAAGTTGATCAGGTGTGTACACCTCCCCTACCCATTTCTGTGTGGCCACGCCCAGTGCTGACACAGAGTGGTGGTCATCTACTCGAGCCAGGCAGTTGTCTCCCTTACTAAAATAAGACTTTAGTATAATAAAAATGATTCATTCCATTGTGAAATATTATCATAATTACAATTAAATTCATTTTTACAAGAGAGTTACAGCAGACATGTCATTTGCTCTTATTATACTTTTTTCAAACTAAGTAAGTGGATATTAATACATGCATTTGTATTTGCTTATTGAAAGAAAAATATATACAGTTGATCTTTGTGGCTTTTATTTGTCAATACAATTATATACAGTCTCAATCAAACCGAGTCTACATTTTCATGTAATTGTGTTTTGATTAATGCTTCAGAGGGATCATCGTTCTTCCAGATTTTTAATTAAAACAGAACATCTCTGTTTGAAATGGATTGCAAATAATAAATGTTCTATTAAAATTATATTGTACATTACATGTATTTGAATCTAAATAAGACGCAAGAATTCGAGTTATCTCTTGACGCCACATATTGCAGTATTAATTGGTTTCATTTCTTACAGTTGTTCTTTAAAAAAACATATGCATAGCACTTGATGATTTTTTTGATACATTAACACAAAACTTGAGAGCTACCTGTTAAGTGTATTGATAAATTGCCTGATGTAATTAATAGAGCATGATGAAAACAACCATTTCTTGGTGTTATGTTTGATATAGTGTGCCTCCATCAAATATCCAGCACCAACAGGGCACGAGTTCCCGTCTCCGTCATGTTCACAACCAAGACTTTAAGATATAATTGAGCCGCGTCATGACAAAACCAACATAGTGGGTTTGCGACCAGCATGGATCCAGACCAGCCTGCGCATCCGCGCAGTCTGATCAGGATCCATGCTGTTCGCTTACAGACCCTATAACAAGTAGAGAAACTGATAGCGAACAGCGTGGATCCTGATCAGACTGCGCGGATGCGCAGGCTGGTCTGGATCCATGCTGGTCGCAAACCCATTATGTTGGTTTTGTCGTGACGCGGCTCATATGATATATGATGATATATATGATGTTCACAAATATGTCTATAAGATCTTATAAGTTATGTTCACAACATACACTGTAAGATAGTGTCCTTTGTGTTCACAACCAAGACTATATGATATTGTACATTATGTTCATAACCAAAACTACAATGTATATATGATGCTGGAAAAATATGATTTTGTGGAGACTGTGGCACTTTGGTTGCTTTAGTGTTTTACATTTATATGATTTGTTAATGCAACAACAAGATCTATATATTTAAACAATTGTTCAGAATTTAAAATTTTCAGTACATTTTAAACAAATATAACACTGCTTTGGTTACTCATGACTTAAATATGGCCATGTAAATCCAAATCGAATATTAAAAATTCATTTTTTTTAAAAAATCAGCTCGTTAAATGAACGCATCTTTATTTTTAAAACCTATATATTTAAACCTTGGCCAAGGTTCATAGCAAGGTGTGTTGCTGAACGCTCCCTCCTTGTCTTCAACAATGATCTGACTCCTTAGATTTACATTCTGCCGCTATATAAGCATTACCTACAACACACAACATGTCCATTGTATAAGAAACATCGTCAACATATAGATTTTCTACTTTAACATTACTTTTTACCTGAAGACATTTTAGCCGCGTCATGGCAAAACTAACATATTGCGTTTGCGACAAGCATGGATCCAGCCTGCGCATGCGCATCCGCGCAGTCAGATCAGGATCCATGCTGTTCGCTGTCAATTTCACCACTTGTAATAGAGTTGGTAAGCAAACAGCATGGATCCTGATCAGACTGCGCGGATGTCGCATGCGCAGGCTGGTCTGGATTCATGCTGGTCGCAAACCCACTATGTTGGTTTGGCGTGACGCGGCTCAATTTATCTGTATACATTTCCTTGAATGATAAATTGAGGATATTAATTAAAGCACAGAAGACAGCATCATAACAGAAACCAAAAGGCGATACATACATATATTACGATGTGGTGCAAAGCTATCAAAACAGTTTTTATTAGTAAATAATCATTCTTTGGCCACTTTTTTCTCCATTTTTTCTTTTTCATTTTTGGCTTTTATAGACTGTGAGTTCATGTTTATAAAACCACTTGTACCGGTATACATACGAAAGAGATAAATGAACGTAAAAAATAATTTTATTTTCATAGTCTATTGCTTTAATTACAAATATAAATAATATCATTTAAATAAAAGAACCATTATGTTAGCCGCTTTGTTGTTAAAACAAATATTTGAACATTTAATTTTGCAGCTTTACAGGTCTATTTGAAAAACTAACATATGTCACTGGAGGACCATTCACTAAATATATAAAACACGTGCTTGCACAACAAATGTATATTTCGAAACTTTTGTAATACTCATTTAATTATACTTTTCATAAAAAAATGAGTTAAAAAACTAACGTATAAAGGTGTATCTATTTGACAACTTACCTGCATAGTTTGATCCATGTGGACCATGTCTCAATTCATACCTAAAATATAGATAAATCATCACAATGTGTTAGTTAAGAAATAAGATACCCAACAATGGTATTTTCGCTAAATAAAATCACTGTTTTGGGGTTCGGATGCGAGGAATTATATCACGATGGCGTAAAACTTTGTCTTACATTTCAAAAAAGAGCCATTGTAACAGAATACATTGCTATTGATATGAGCCGCGTCACGACAAAACCAACGTAATGCATTTGCGACCAGCATGGATCAGACCAGTCTGCGCATCCGCACAGTCTGATCAGGTTCCATGCTATTCTCTATCAGTTTCTCTACTTGTAATAGGGTTTGTTAGCGAACAACATGGATCCTGATCAGACTGTGCGGATGCGCAGGCTGGTCTGGATCCATGCTGGTCGCAAATCCATTATGTTGGTTTTGTCATGGCACGGCTAAAATGGAATTAAACTATCATCCGAAATTAAACCAACTTAGATTTTCAAGTACAAACTATACCTACCCAGTAAAAAGCATAGCATGGTCGTGAGGGACAGTTTTCTGATATTCGAGGGACGTGGCTTTAAATAATGGATGTACATCATCAGAGTCGACATAATAAGTTGAGTCTACTTGGAACTTTGTTGTTTCTGTCCATGGTGAATCGGCCTCCGTCTGTTATATAAGAATTCATACAATAACAACAACAACAGCAACAGCGGCAGCAGCAGCAACAACAACAACAAGAAAAACAACAACCCGCTCCATAAAAAAACCAACGTAATATAGATGACATATAAATAGTTTACCAATATACACATCATACGTAATTGTAATTTTATAACCATTGTCGACTTTCTCTTATATAGCCTATATACATGTAAATACTATATAAAGACTTTGTTTACTTTTCAGATTTGAAAACCAAATGTTCCTGCATAGGTTATTAGCAATAAATGTAATAACAATAATGTCGAGTTTATCTATTGTGCATAAAAAATTGGTTCATGATCAAATTTCAGTATTGGCTAACATACAGAAGAAATTGCAAAAGAATAACAATTGCATAAAAATAATCCTTTATTGACAAAATAAACTAGCAAACATCACAAAAGCTTAAATATAATAACAATTGTAATAATTCGACTGTAATAATTCATTATCTAATTTACTTACGGTCATTATCCGGAAGTCAACCAGCTTTATAGAAATAAATATGTTATGATCTTCCAGGCCTTTGTATACGAGATTTGTCTGGAAATAATTATATATATTGAATTGACTTATTGTAATGATGGCATTTGATACGTGGTATATCATATTGTTAGGGTTTTGATTAGTTATTATAAATGAAAAATAATATTTTTATGTTATGTTTTTGTATAGATTAATGTTTAAAAGAGAACATGTGTAACGTTTAACGATAAATATGAAAAACGCAAATTGTATCAAGTCTCACAAGTTTCAATCTCATTAAAATCAGCTGCTACATTTAACATGTAAAACATAACAAAATCTGAATTTAAGTCAGATTGCGGAATTTTGCACCTTCTCAACGCAGTGATCTCCCTTTCATTCGCCGGCATACTATAATAGTCCAGCTTTGAGGAGTTTGCTATTATCATGATATCTACAGATCAGTTTGAGCTACGATGATAATTGTCCAATTCCATATCGAAAACTGAACAAGCCCATCTTCTAATTCTAATACATTGTATAACCTAATGTAAGGTAACAAATGCATGTATAACTTTTCGTTTATTAACATATATTTATCTAATCTTTTTATACTATGATCTTATCCTACTTATTCATCTAAATTTACCAATGCAAACAGTGTAGACCAAGATCAGACAAAACATCTGTGCCTTCATGGTTTTCATTGTTCGCTATTTAGTAAGAACATAAAAAAGTTTTCTGTGAAAGACGAAGGTTTTGTCCAGATTTAAACATGGACAAGTGTATTTAAGATATTTAGTGTTTTACAGGGAATATTATGTAAAAAGGGAAATGTTATGTAAAAACAATCTTACAGAATGTATCATTGTCGTATACCAAGTCGTCAAGTTTTGTTTGGCCATCTCAACTCTTTTCGAATGTGACAGTGTGGTCGGCGTCAGCTTGTAAAATCTGTTATGAAATAGTGCAGGTGGAAACAACTGAGAAGACATTTCTGTTTGATTTATTATTATTATTATCATTATTATTATTGTTGTTGTTATTGTTGTTATTATTTTGCATGATAATGATTCAGTGCGACATAAGTACCATTATGATATTATATACATGATGGTTACCATTCATATTTTAAAAATCCTGTGAGGAAATTTAATCCAAAGTTTCGAAAAGAAGTTTCATTTATACTTTTAAAAGGGATTTTATATATATAATTCATACTCACTTATTAAAGGCAGCATAGTCAGCTATCGTTAATAGTTCAATTTCCAAAGGTGAGCTGGCACGAACTCCGACATCTGCTTGCACATCTTGAACGAGTAGTTCTGAAATATCGTTTCTTCTCATTTATCTATTATTGTAAACAATGGACTGTATAATTTGGGACACTATAAAGAGTTATTTTCGTCAATTTATCTATCTCTCAGTTTATGGACATGTATAAATCTGAAGTCATGACATTAGGAGAAAAATTGTATTGAACTTACAAACTCATTTATGGTGGCTGATTTATTCATTTTGGATTTCAAAATACGTACATAAATAAATATGTTTTGATGTCTCAGCGGACCGAAAATCTTTCATACTGTATACAAAAAGTAAATAAATAAAAAAGATTAAAACAAAAACATATTTTTTATATTATTTCCTTCTTTCTTCATTTCTAATACTTATGAGTAATAAATAACCGGACACTAAATACCATCAATATATCGTATTACTTACTAATTATTTTATCTGTTAAAAGACGTATTAACAAAATATATACATGTATTTTAATTATGGAACGTAACTTACGCACAAAAATGGCTATTATGCCAATTGCTAGTGGGATCAAGTTCATGCCTGGATTCTCCTCGGATGATTGCGGGCAAATGTTAACTTAAATATGATTTTGTAGGAATACTGAACTTAGCTTCTCAAAATCAGACCTTGTTCACATTATATATCTTAATTCATATTATAGCATTACTAAAAATACTAAAATAGAAGAAGAATTTTATAAAACTTTGTCTTCCATTTTAATCCTGTTTTGAAAGAATATTTGCATTGCATACTAGAATTATAGTGCTCGTCTGTAAATTATTCATGCATGTAATATCCCTCAACTGGTTATTTGGTATGGCAATAAACGCATTATTTTTTATTTTTGTATCGCAATAAAATTATTTGAGTTATGTTGAGTTGAATATATTGTTAACTATAACATGATTATAAATTCTGAGGAAAAGAATGTTTTCCTTGTTATGTAAGTATTTCTTTTCTTTCTTGTGTAAACGGTTGACTTTTCTGCCTTGTGTAGGTGGTTTACTTTTCTTTCTTGTGTAGGTGGTTTACTTTTCTAATTTGTGTAAATGGTTTACTTTTCTTCTTGTGTAGGTGGTTTACTTCTCTTCTTGTTCTCTTCTTGTGTAGGTGGTTTACTTCTCTTCTTGTTCTCTTCTTGTGTAGGTGGTTTACTTCTCTTCTTGTTCTCTTCTTGTGTAGGTGGTTTACTTCTCTTCTTGTGTAGGTTTACTTTTCTTTCTTGTGTAGGTGGTTTACTTCTCTTCTTGTTCTCTTCTTGTGTAGGTGGTTTACTTCTCTTCTTGTGTAGGTTTACTTTTCTTTCTTGTGTAGGTGGTTTACTTCTCTTCTTGTTCTCTTCTTGTGTAGGTGGTTTACTTCTCTTCTTGTGTAGGTTTACTTTTCTTTCTTGTGTAGGTGGTTTACTTCTCTTCTTATTCTCTTCTTGTGTAGGTGGTTTACTTCTCTTCTTGTGTAGGTTTACTTTTCTTCCTTGTGTAGGTGGTTTACTTCTCTTCTTGTATAGGTGGTTTACTTTTCTTTCGAGTGTAATTGGTTTACTTCTCTTTCTTGTATATGTCATTTTACTTTTCTTTCTTGTGTAGCTATATGTTACTTGTAAAACATTCTGAATGTCTTTGTCAGTATACATAAATGAGAAAAGCCTTGTGAACAAGGCCTTATAATTACACTTCCGCTACCTTATCGGTGCCTTGTCTATGTTCATTTAGAACCTGCAGCCTACTTTTATCACAAAATCGTGTCATATGCCACTTGATAAGTAGGACACAAGACTGTCAGTGAACTCTTACCAATCTTTATTTGATTCTTTTTGAAACCCCAAAGGTTTCTCCATTCATTGTACCCGTCATAGGTAAAATATAGGGTCTGGGATTCATTAGCTATTGTCCGTCTCAAGTATAAAAACAAACATTTCTTTTTTTAATTTAGTATAAAATCTTTTTTCCTTACGTATGTATGAAATAAAAACAATATAAAGGAATATAATTACATATATTACGGGTTAGATTTTTGAATTTGAAAATTATTTGTGTTTTTATACATGTATGTAAGATATTGATATTCTCATTTGTAAAATAAATTACTCAACATCGAGGGGTAAAATTTGTTAGATAAGATTTTGCCAGTTTCTTTATTTCGCTTTCTTTATATGTATAATGAACATGCTATGTCGTGGCAACAGTCTATATTGATGTCAAATAACATGTATGGCAATTGTCAAGACAGACTGCACAATGTACATGATTCAACGGGCTAATATGACTCATTAGTGGTTGCATAGGGGTGATTTATTGATCCTTTAAAAGATCAAAATATTCCGTTAAATTCTGGTAGTTCCATTCACGCTTTTCATACATGAAGACACAATACAGCGTAACCTCCTCAAAGCGACCCCACAGTATATAAACGATTTGAACCCCAACCGGATCTTGTGAGAAGATTTTAGTGTCAGCCATATTCTGCCACTTCACTTGTTTACGATATTGGTATTTATATTGATACTGATGGACGTTAGGTTAGTAAATCTTTATTTATATTATAAGTTAGAAACTTTATTAAACGTCTAAGTTATGCAAAACATAAACGTTAGCACGAAGGCTATAAAATAATCGAAACTCACGAACAGCTTTCAGGTGATCAACACTGAACACGAACACAAATCCGTCTTATTCCAATGTTGATTTAGTTAAACATTGAATTGTGATATCGAACTACTAAAGTAATCAATAACAAACGATAATTTAGTCATATGCATAACATATTGCTGTATCTTGAACATAAATTTAAGAGTTTTACCAAGGAGGTCATTTCCGTAAACTGAACGTTACTTGCTGGTGATTGTGAACCCTACTTGTGAGTTTACGAATTTTATCTGTACCATGACTTGTGAGTATTTTTAAAGATTTATTGGAGAAACAGTTTACGTTCATTGCGATTTTGTATCTATTATTGCCAGAAAATTAAAATGATTGTAATGGAATTTTAGTATATAAGGTGGGATCTAAGGTATACTAAGAATTAGTTTAATTGATAATATTGTTAATCATTTGTTTAATAAAATATATAATGCTATGTATATTTTTCTTTCGGATCACCATGGAAGAATACAACTGCATATACTGTTGAGTAAAGACTACGAATTTCAATGCCATCATTAGCCACATAATTATTCGCCATCCAGACTGCAACTTGAAAATAAGAATAAATAATGATCAGAATAAAATTTCCTACTTAAAAAATTTCAGCGTCACAACCATTAACGTAAACGATAAAAAGAAGTTTATAACACCAATAGCTGAAACACTGACAATTAAAATTTCAAAATTTCTCGAATATTCTCCGTTTAAAAAGATGCCAAAATTGTCGACGTCTATGAAAGATATACAAGAACAAAAGTCGTACATGTCAAAAAAAGAAAGTCAATGAATATCTGAGAATATAAAACAGTGTTTAAAAAGCAGAATGAAATCAACGGTAGGTGTAAAGCTTTCAACATGTTGAAATAAGTAATCTGCAAAAAAATCTTGTAATGATATTTCGGGGTTTATTGATACGTGACGTTATATAACGGTCACGTCAAAACTAACAACAATGCCGTTGAACTAAATATAAAAAAAATTATAGTACATATGTAATATTTTAGCTTTATATCTTTCCAAAGAAAAATGAATGGTAAGTGAAGATGAGGTTTGTTAGTTAATAATTCCTATCAAGAAATAATTGACTTTCTGATTCGTATAACCAGCCACTTCATGCAGACAGTGAAAACATGACGAAGCTCCTCTATTCATATGCAGTTTTATAGTTACTTACATAGCACTAGAACATGTACCCTTCTCTTGTGACACAATAACTTCATATTCTGCACATTAAAATTTGGAACATACGACAAAAACACAATAAAAATCATCAAAAGTGACTCGCAAGTAATGGTTCAGTGAAAACACAAGTAGGGTACAAATCATTAAAATTGTTTTAGCAAGACGGGTACAGTTATCAGAAATGTCGCCTCTATTGTTTACTATGTTTTATCAATATTCAAAGATATTTTCACAAGTGTCTGTCCGGTAACATGAGGTTAAGACAATAAAGTTAAGATTCAGAAATGAGTTATAGTGAAATAAAACAATTTTAGGCATACATTTGCTTGTGTAATCGGCGTGTGTTGACATAAACAAAACATGAGGCGAAGAGCACAGCGTTTTATGCGCATATATTTTACGAAGAAGGTTATGGATGTATATTTAAGCAAAGATAATTTTTTTCTTAAAATGATTCAAATGTTAACATACCGTAACATATTATATTCAAGCCGATGTTTGATAGTTTAATGTGTCATTACGCCTGATTGTACGTTTAGATGCTGTGATCTTCTCACAAGATCCGGTTGGGGTTCAAATCGTTTATATACTGTGGACCCTCTGTAGAGCAATTACCTCCTGACAGCAACAGTTTCAATTCATCAAAAATAACACTTCCCCATTACCTCCCTACAGCAACAATCAAAATTGTTGTATCCTAAAAGCATTGTTCTGCAGCAGTTGTATTAACGTATTTTAAAAACAAATCATTCAGAAATTCATCTGCAATATACAGAGACTAGTCAACTCTAATTATTTTAATGAAAGATGGTGAATTAACTGCCGTCTGTCTGTTAAACAAAAGCCCGTTTATAACTATGATATTCAGTACTACCCCAAACGCCACTTTTTACATTAGTTAGTTAATGTTTTAAAATCTTGAAATGTTAACAGTACACAATTAAGATTGGTGGGTCATTAATTGTAATTGAAAATTGCAATAATATTTCGTTGATAAATATGACACACGTATTTACATTATCAATGTATCACATTTGTTTATTCATACATATTTAAATAATAAAGCTTGCTATTCTTATGAATGTGTTCCCTAGTTTACTCTCAAAAGGATTATCAACTCGAGTTTACTCCCTTTTTTAAGGTAGTCTTACTGTGCCAAAGAAATTCTAACATCGACCTATATCGTAACAAATCGGTTATTTCCGGAACTTTATTTTTTTCAAAGTCTTGGGCATAAGATTATTTACAATCACTTATCCTTTATGGCTATGTACTAAATTCTTAATATAAACTGTTAAAAATTATTGAATACCGAATATTGTGAAAAGAACATTCCAGAAATGACCGATTTTTTACGATAATGCCTTAGAATTATTTTTGGCGGAAAAGCAATACAGTATGACTATATATACCTTGACAGCACATATGTACTTACTGTGTAATATGTCAAATTATCTATTCATTAGTAAATGGCCGCTCAACTTAGATTATCTCATTTTGAGAAACAAATCCATCAAAATGCCTTATTTTTATCGTACGAACATGCGCCATGCAAGACATTCAAAATAAAACAAAACGCTTCTTAAAGCAATCAGAATTAGAATACTCGTGCATGTACACTTGTATTTCTGTTCTTTGTTTACTATGCATGCGATGTTTCTAAGATAGCTGTTAGACATCAAGGAACTGGAAATATTTTTTCGAAGATTTGTGTGCCATTTGATGTATGTCTGAACGGAAACTTGTGTGCCAAATTAAATAAAGTCTTTATTATTATTATTATTATTATTAAATGAAAAGCTTTTATACGGTTTTAACTCAAATCCGGTATGTTAAAAAACAATCACAAAAATCCTCGACTTTCAATTTAATTATGGGTTTATTCCGTTATTCCCTGCGGTCTGGAGACCGCAGGGTATTGGTACGCGTTTTACTTTTGAGGCATGGAGGAGCACGTGACCTGTTTTCGGTACATGGAGGAGCATGTGATCTGTAAACCGTATATGATTGGTTAATTGACCTTTTCGAAAACCCAGCTAAATACCGTTTGCCGGTACGTTACGGATTTACCTGTAGGGAATAAGTCCGAATTACACCTAATTGAGAACAAAAATCTATTACGTGATATTTCTAATTTTCTATAATTATTTTACCGTTTAAGGTGGAAAAACTTGAATGATGTGTTTGAAAATTATCAATGTTTCTTTAATATCTATCTCAAATTTTACAAACAATAAATTGTTTATACTGAAAATCTGCAAAATGAAAATATTCGTAGTGGCATCTGCCATAATAAAAAGAGATATTTTCTGCGTAAACTTGTGTGTTTACTTTATTTATTTTTTGCTCGGAATTATTCATAAAATGGTAGGCCTATTTAATCATTTTCTTAAAAAGAAATAATTGTTTTATGTTCGACCTTCTCCGGTCTTCAACGGTCATGCACATGCAGTTTCCAAAGACCTTCTTCTATATTGTTCGATTATTGTCAACTATATTCCTGTTACAAACGTTTATTTATCCCCCCCCCAAATAATGTTGAAAATAGTTAAATGAAATATCATTATATCATTAAAATGTTCACCGCAGGAAACTATTTTACTTGTTATTGTTTGTGTATTTTCCAGCTATAAGCGCTGATCTTTATTATATACTTTAGGCATTCTGAATTGTAAGGGGAGGTATGGTGGCTGATTTGTGCCATGTTGTACTTTAGCTCCCAGGGGCGCCGGGCGAAAACACGAAAATACGACCCGCGGGGCGCAAAGGCGAAAACACAATAATACGACAGTCACCACTAAGACAACAGCAACAAAATGAAATCATCATGTTTTTCTTATTATCTATTTATTTCAGATAGACCTACAACAATATGTCTGACGTCATTTTATATTATCCGACAATCGCCGCTCCCCTACAAGTCTCGCAACATCTCGCCAAAGCATCCTGCTGGTATCTTCCACAATCTGATTTCCTACAATACTGACTTTTATCACCGTATTCACATCCTATAAAACACACCATAATGATTAAATGAGCCGCGTCATGACAAAACCAACATAATGGGTTTGCGACCAGCAGGGATCCAGACCAGCCTGCGCATCCGCGCAGTCTGATCAGGATCCATGCTGTTCGCTATCAGTTTCTCTACTTGTTAAAGAGATGGTAAGCGAACAGCATGGATCCTGATCAGACTGCGCGGATGCGCAGGCTGGTCTGGATCCATGCTGGTCGCAAACGCACTATGTTGGTTTTGTCGTGACACGGCTCAAATTATTCTTTATCTTTACTCAGCATAGTGAAATAGGCATTAAAGGCACATTATGCCTCAGAAATCCATATCTTTTTATTTCTTTACAAATGACAAACATGTGTTTAATAACGTTCTAATATTGGACTATGAGAGTATGTTAGATGTTTCATAATTGAAGAAGGTCGTGCTAAATAAGCAGTTACGTGTCGTAAAGGTAGCAAAATGTAAACAAATTAGTATTTTGACTTCCATGCAAAATTCTAATTCGCTATAATGTTATTAGTTGTCATTAGAGCAAAAAAAAGCAAAAGATATTTTGTGTGTATGGCAAATTAGTGATTTTTCTTTTAAAATGTATCAAGATACCAAAATAAAAGGTTTTTTGAGAAATAAAAATGATAGCACTAATGAGACATAATGGGCCTTTAAATAACGATTCAAGAACACTCATTTTGAATTGAACAACTTTTAGAAGATACAATCTACTGTTGAAGGAGAGCTACTTTACGGTTGTATAATACAGTTACAAAATAATATGAAAAAGGACCACGAATCGCCCAAAATCATTCACCTGAGATCTGTTTCTAAACAAAGGTCATGAAATAATTCATTGGGTCACATTGGGGCCGAGGGGACGAGTTTGACACAAGCGCTATGCGTAATATATAACACATTTTGCAAAGGTTTACTAGGCAATGTTGCATGACAAAGAAATCTTATCTGGTTTTCGAAAAGAAGTTTTGAATTTATACGTTTTCCTATACAATCTTGTGTGCATGATTTATGCAACTTTATTGAGGACCTATACATCTGAGCTTGTAGCATTGAGTTTTCTAGAAGATGTTTAAAAAGTATGTTCCTTATACAATTGAATTTAAACAAAGTAACCCGCACTGCAGGGCCAATTTGAACCGGACATATGTAGAAGACCGCGTGGCAATGCTACATGCTTACTATATCTACGCATTGTGACTGAGCTGAGGTACAGTTTTTTTTAGAGTTTGTTTCATAAATAAGTCAGTATAACAAAAGTAAGGGCCTATTTATCCCAAGGAATTATTCATTTCAAACTTTTGCAGAAATTTACTAGGCAATCTTTTATGCCAAATATCTAAGGTCTAGGACATCCAGTGTCCAAGATGAAAATTTAAATTTTTTTTTCTATATAAGTTTGTGTGAAATAAGTGACGCCTAAGGCGTAGCCGACTTTGACTCTAATTCCATATATGATAAACCTTCTGCTGAATATCATACACATTTATGTTTTAGTCCGCCAACTTAGCTTATTAGGGTGACTTGTAATCCAGATGGCGCTGGTTCGATCCGCGGGCGGGGCGATATTTCTCCTTGCTGATAGGCTCGAGACATTTAAACTAATGGTGAATTTTCTCACAGTCCACCTTTTATTAAAAATCATGTGAGACAAGTAATCGGAATACTTGTAAATAAACTTATTTACCCAGTAAAATCGGTTAGCTTGACCGACCGCCGAGGAATCAACAGCAAAAAAATGTGTTTGAATCGGCGTAAAAATCCAAACAAACTTATTATTTTTGAAAAAGTTATAGGATGGTTAGAAATGACTGAGACTAATATAGATGTACCTTTTATTGGACTTCGTATATCGACACAGGTTTTACAGCATTCTCTAACAGTGTAACTGCTATAACACGACCCATGATTACCGGGTTGAGCTATCTGAGCGCATGTAAGATGAGCACTTGTCACGCGCGTGTCATTCTTATGATCACCCATTGGACAGCTTTCTGGAAAAGCAGAAAATCATCTTACATCGAAAATATGTTGATAATTAGACACCTTTGTATGTCATAATCAGACCACTCTAAAGCAAGACTTGTTGAAAAAGACAAATCACGGTGCATATCCATATCGGTACCCTCTTTGCTCATGCACAGGTCTTTCTCTGCTACAGGTTTATGTAAAATCATTTTAAAAAATCCATAATTAACAAAGGTATGGACCTTTGGATGTTGCCCAGATAGACGGACCATTTAAAAACTATATGACTCCCGTCGGGGTCATAAAATTGTCCAAATATCAAAATTATACCTGGATATTTATTTCTTTTCATTTAAAATATGCTCAAAAATACCGAAACAAATTTAGCCTCCTTGCCCACATTTGGATAAAACAATCTATGAAAGTCTCCGATATTTTTACCGAATTCTTTCCATTTTTTCACTGAAATCATACATATACAATATGCACATAAAGAATGAACTGGAATATTAGCATACTATGCATCACCCATGTCGTTTAAAGTATGGTCAAACGTGTGATTAAACCAATGGCACTTTGTGGTAGGGTCCTGTTCCCCGGCGTGATCCGCCCCGGTAGGGTCCTGTTCCCCGGCGTGATCCGCCCCTGTAAACTATCAATTAAAAATCTTTACTCATTTTACCACAAATGGGATATCTGATTTGAAATTGAATACTAAACTTGTCTTTTAATCATTCAAACGTGGTAAATATAGATTTTATTACTGGGCAGTTCAAGCCGTGGGACAGGGTCTGACCCAAAAGTATCTTTCGATGAAACCGGAAATGTCTTTAAAAGGAAGGACAACATACCTAACACAGCCGGGGCTTTATCATCTTGCACACATTGACCATCTATACACCACTGAAATAAAGCAAAATAGACGTATATTCGTACACTAATTAACGTTAAAACCCAAAGCCGCTATCGCCATCTTCGGCAATTTCCGTATTATGCATTTTAGTACAATTACGTCACGTTAGGAGATAATTATGACGCCATTATTTGATATTGAAATACCAATATGACGGTAAAGATACATGCTTATAAAGGTCAATAACTTTAATACTTTTATGACCGTTGTAACATAAAACTTAAAATAAACATATAAATGTTTCGTTCTCAAGTTTTATACTTTTAACCCTTTATTCTGAAACTGACACAGTAACCCCTGTGTTTTGTATTTTTACCTTTTTGTGACCACATGGTGTCTTCTCATAGGCGTGCATCGAATGATAGGATTTCGTGTCTCGGCAGTACAAGCGACTGCATATCATTTCATAGTTGTTGCTGTTGTAAATGGTCAGATGCTAAAACGCAGAATATTGTGGATTTATTTGAAAATCTTATGTATCTTAACAAAATGTTAAACCTAATACATGTATATGCGCAACTTTTCGGTCCTTTCTGTCAATCTTCGGACCTCGGACACAATATTGTACACGGACCGGATAAGCAATCGGAACATCCTTGGCTATTATTTATAATAACCTCGGAAACAATACTGATTGAAAGTAGTTCTACTTTATCCGAAGACTGTCGGAATGGGCCGAAACGTTGCGATTGACCGGATAAGGTATTTCGGTTTTACCTTAGTACGCTAAAAAAAAACTTAACATGTAAACATAAAGTCTATTACTGATCGGATTTGTTGAGTTAGTCTATTTCATTTTACCGTGCCCAAGTCAACTTAAATAAATTGATAGATGTGGAAAATACATTATTCATGTACTATGTATTATATTTTAAGAAAACTGAAGTACAAATTATATACCTGTTATTTGGTTATCATTACATGTAGATGTAAAAGAAGTACATTTGTAACTCCTTATAACAGAGATTAAACCCACTGTTTTTGTCAGTGATAGAACTACTTTCAATCCGCATAAACTATCAATAATAGCATACCAAGGATCCTAGCTAGAAGACTACTAGTGAACTATGGTGGCTGATTTGGTACATTTTGCGCGTAGCGTTGTCGATAGAGACAACTCAACCTATTACGTTATCGTTATCGCCTTTTCGTCTTGTCGCGAGCAAAACGCACCAAATTGTCACACTGTCGTCTTGTCGTCCTGTCTCTAGCGAAGCACGCCAAACGGCGCGTTGTCGTGTGGCGCGTTGTCGCTTGGCACCTGAGCCAATCCTTCGATTTGAGCCGAGCGACAATGTGGCATCGCGACAACACGCTGCATAAAAACGTCCCGTTTGGCGTGCATCGTTAGCGACAGGACAACAAGACGAAAGTTCGACAGTTCGCTGTTTGGCGCTATGTCGCCCTGTCGCTAGCGACAACACGACGCACAAAAGCGTTCCAAATCAGCCACCATAGTGAACTCTCCTGATCAAATACCACTTATTTGTAGGTTCTTTTGATAAAGGTCCTTTATTTATAAAAAATAAACTTATAATTTCAATACCACTATACAAATCAATATGTTTTATGCGTTAATAATAGAACGAATTAGCTTACCCTATTCATGGAGAAACCATCACCATACATTTCTGCACACTGGGCATCAACAGATGGTATGGTAGTGATATTTACAGTCTTGCATGAACTGCAACATAGACGCTTGATTTTTGATTGAAGACACAAAGTCGGGGAACTATTGGCGACGTCTTGGCAAGTCTGCTGATTGTGTACCGGGCCCGTCTGATCACCGAGCAAACATTTCTCGTCTGAAAATAAAATGATGGTAGAGCGTCGAAAATATATCAAGGTGAAACACATCACATACGTGTCTAGTCACCATTGTTATATGGCGGAGATGGCCAAAAGGTTGGTTATTTATTCAAGCTCGATTGAGAAACAAGTTCTTGCAACTTATATTAATCACTTTCGAGTCCGCTTCCTGGAACCAACCAGTACTGGTGTCATATGAAGAAACATGGTCGTGACCCGAGTAGGCCTCAAAAGCATGATCTACAGATTGAGAGGCAGACATTTTAACCACTAGGCCATCGCTCCACTTCAAGAGCCGAAAGGTTACGATCGGGAAAGACATACATGTTTTTACATTGAACATGCTTAATCATGTCGTTAATATGTTTACAACAAAGCATACGAGAAAGGGCTAGTCTAGTTATCATTTCACAATGATTAACAACAATACTTTTGTGTGAATATTATTTTGTGTCTGTAAATTAAAATTTTAAATAAATAAAATGTTCCCCTTCGTTTACCGGAAGTCGTACATCTTAAAGTGACATCATGCTCATTTTTTCAATTTATTTATTTTATTATTTTCTTTTTTATGCTGTCAAGTTGAGCTGAATAAGCTTTATATTTGAAAGATTTACTATTATTATGTTCATTGCCTAATAACTAATAATGTCAACTTTTAGGAAAAATAAATAAACAACCTAAAATTTAAAAATATTGACCAATTTCCGTTACCGATAAATTCCGGAGATTATTTATAGAAATGAACTATGGTTATGTGCCTGTGCTATTTATTATTTTGAATTTCAAGATACATAAATTGAAAACAGTTATTTTAATTTTAAGTTTTTTTTTTTTTACATTTGAATGGACATAATATCACTTTAAATGGAAACTAATTGTTAATATATAACATGTGTTTTCTTCTTGAACGTCTAGACTGATCTTACCTGCACTTGCTGGGGCATTATCGTCATGTACACAGTGCCCACTCTTACACCACTGGAAAAAAATTATGAGAAATAATCTTCAGTAAATTGACAAGTTGTTTTGCAAAGACATCACCAAAATGATTAATGTCAATCAATTCATTAATGAATGACAGAATGGAAAATTGGAATGCACCTTTAAAATGTATAGTACAGGGGTTAAATATGGTAAAAATCAACTTAAGAATGCATCACTTGACAATATGATGGTGTTGGTAAGTCAGTGGTGGTGGTGTTGCTAGTTTTCACTCCGAATCACGACAGTTAGCCACAATGAATTTACCAGGGCAGAGTTCAGTTCCTGGGCAGGCTGTCAAACAGTTTTCCAGTACTAGTTGCCTTCACTTTCGCAAGAACCGATCTCTTCTGTACATGGAAGGGCAGGAGTACGGTGCAAATGACCGTAGAAAGGATTCCATGATCAATCACAACGAAAGTGACCTGCAAACTTCATTTCACATTTTATATAGAACGAAATCATCATGAAGTAAAGCAAGACTGATGTCTTGGATTATGGGGAATGGATGAGCAATGTTTTCTTACAGAATTACCAAGCTGGCTTGATACAATAAAGAAGAATCACTAAAAAAGAATGTCCCTTTTAAAGATTATGTGATTTACATATTTGCATATACTTTGTTAATACATTAGAAATGCCTCATGATACTTTATCATTATTATATTCTTATTGACATGTTTCACTCAAAGCGCTCGATAGGGAAGACAACTTATAATAGACCATTGGTTACAATACATGATTATTGTAAAACGAGGATATTCCTCAAAAGCAACGAATACGACCGTATAAAAGTTAAATTTTCTGATTCGGTTTGCTTTAATCTGTTCATGAGAGTTAACGAAGTATTTGACCAAATGGTCACAAAGGACTTGAGGAATATAACAACAATGTGAGGAAAGCAACTTAATACAGAGGAAAGCAACTTAATACAGTTGTCAAACAGCATTTAACAACAGTCCTGCTGTGGTGAGTTTAAAGATCGGGGAAATGGGAGCTGCAGCAAGACTGTTAGGACCTGTAAAAAGGGAGAAATTTTCTCCTCCCTCCTGAGAGCACGAAAAATAAATAAATATGTAATCACTGCAGAAATTTGTTTGATTGCCTTTGTGCGTGAGAGAAAAATAAAACAGCTCTCATGCAGCCTAGCACCGGTTGGAGCAGCATTCAAATCTAGACACGAAATGTTTTTAAGTCATTCGTCCCGAAGGCCATTTTACTGTTTAATGCAACGTAGCTGACTGGCTATCCAAATACATAGTCACTGGTTGACCTGGTTTACACAAAGGTACACACGGCTTTGTGATACTAATTGTGAGCAATTTACCAAGCAAAGAACAGAAAAGCCATGGCTTAATTTTTTCCTGCTAAAAAGCTGGCAATGTCCATACCACAATACCATGAACTTAATAAAAGTAAGTAGGTATAAATAAGAGAGAGTGTACCTTCTTGTCACCACATGGTGTCATGTCAAACGGTCTCATCCAGTGACACATGGAAGGAACAGTTGTATTGCTACAGTATAGGCCTCCACATATCACAGAATACGGGTGGTTCGGATGACTTGTATAACTATTTATATCCTGAAATATATTGACAAAGCATACATGAAAAAGATAATAAACAAAATCACCAAGGAAAGGCGGCGTTCAAAGAACGCAACCCCCACACGACGCAGCAACAAGAACCAGCGGCAAGGAGCCCAGGAGGACCCCAACCGACGAAACAGGACAGGACACAAGGCAGAGCACGGACAGGAAGTTTAACTTTTGTTTTAAGTATCTGATTCTTGCCGAGAAGTTTACGTTTTTTTCCTAATCATATACTAGTACGTATTTTTTTGGTTATGTAATAGACTTGGTAAATACAAATAAAGGTTACCTATGCTCATCTTTGAGTAAAATATTTTTATAACAAACATTTATTGAAATTAATGAAATTCTCACAGAATATGACTAATTTGAAGAAAAAATCTATAACCTGTGTTTGGGAAGCTACATTTCCTATTACAGGGTAAGTAAAGTTGGTCCTTTCTTTAAAAAAAGTTTTTTAATGACACTAAACATGAATATTCATATTGTGTCCACCTATAATGTGTAGAGTTTAAAACATAACATATTTAATTTGTGTGAAGTCAAAACATGTTTATAGCATATTTAAAAAAAAACTGTGTTGCAATTTTCAATATTTTCAAATATCAAATTTGAGCATAGTATGTCTTTAGGTATTCAAAAGGGATCTTTCTGAACAAAATGGTAATATTTAAGGAATGGGTCTATGATTTTAAAACATTTTGAAATCAAAGTCTTTTAGCTTTAACATTAATACACTTCAATATTTACCAGTTTCCAACCTACTGCCAGTTGTCTTGGCAAACTCTCGGACAAAACAAATTATTGGCTTGCTTACCCTACACATTTTGGACCCTTGTCCAAACTTGCTGCTACATTGTTCGTCTACATGTATGGCAGATACGTGTACTTTAGAGCAAGACATACAACATAAACGCTTGATATTTGAATCAAGACATCTTCTCGGAGAGTTCTTCACAAGATGTGCACATGTTTGGTTTTCAACCACTACACCCTGCCTGTCTCCGGGTATACAACTTGCTTCTAAAATATATAAAAAAGCTTTGTTACAATAAACGCTCAAACATTCTCTAGATGAACAATAGATAAATTCAGTTTCATGTACCAAGTTGAAAATAACAGTTATAAAGTTATCAATTGTTTTAGTTAAGTTCAATGTTCAAAATTTATTTCCACGGCATAAGATTGCCTTTGACATACACAGGCATGTCCTTAGAAAATGATATTTCAACGCCACTGCTGACTTTTACAATAATTTGCGACATTTTGTAAAATTCTTTTAATTCTTCTTTACTAGACAATGTGTTGAGAAAAACCAATGAAGACAGCATAAATAAGAGCCGCGGGCATGATTTTTTTGTATTTTGTACATAAGTTCATCCTTTTTTCTATTTCCAACATTGAATGTGCAATAATGTAATATCTTATTAAATGCAATGATCAGTTTTGAAGTGGATAGCTTCACAATGGGCATGTTTTCAAATATTGATAAAAACAATATTAATGTATCATACATATGGACATTCATATAAAATATTGCTTAAACTAAAATTGTTGAAAAAAGTTCAAAATGATTCAGTGTGAAAATTTAAGTATGATAAATAATAACATTCTGTTCTAGAACAATTGACTATCAACATAATTATTCATTGTGTTAAAGGCCTTCCATTTTATTATCGACCAACTCTTTTTAAGAATGCTCCAAATAAAACATTAAAATAAACATAAAAATCATATTCAGAAACATAACATAACATATAACATAACCAACAAAACCCCAAAATGCATTCTTATAATTATGACAAAAAATGAGCTTACCATGGACTGATACAGCATTTGTATTGTGTACACATTCTCCATTCATACACCACTGTCAATGTAAACATACTCCAAGGGGCAGGACGTGAAGTGGTTGCACACTTGGTTCAAGCGAGCGAATTGGTTGCAAACTTGACAAAATGGCAAACACGGCGTGAATTTTTGAAACGGGTGAACGTATTTTTGCCAGGCAAGTGGGTTTCTTTGTTATTTTGAAGTTCATTAGTATGTCTGTTCCATAATGCAATATATATGCCACACTCGGTTAAAGGTTTCAGCATCCTAGATTCTGTTTTGACGAAGTTATTGAAGATATAAATTGATCATGTAGATATTTTGAAATTTGACATGTGACTGTTCTGGTCGGTTTTTCTCATAATTTGTTCGAATTTGTAAGTTTTAAACTGCATTTAACAATAACAAAATATGTTTCTGTCAATGCTGTACAAATGGTTTAGTTCGCAAGTCCGAAGATAACGTTTAATTCTAAAAAATATCTTGTTCAAGCACATTTTGGTTGCAGACTTATACTTCAAGCATTTTTGGTCGCAAACTTATTCTTACTCTATTGAAATCCATAGTAAAACTTTGCAAAAGGAGTGAAAGAAGGTTATATTTATTAGCCTATTTTCAATGGCAATTATTGACATTTATGTTCTGTTACTTGTTTTTGTTATAAATGTTATTTATACTTTCTTCTTTTACAACAATTATGCATTTTATGTTTCAAATTACATGGTTCTCAGTTCAATACTATAATCATCAGCAAAAGCCTGCAAACAAATTAATAGCATATAAAAAATATATTTATTGATACTGTTGTACGAGTATGTAAGTGAATTATTTTCATCATAAACATATGGACATATGCACACATACGATATTACTCGCAAAAATGTCCAAAGTTTATTAAAACAACAAGAAATGTTAATTTGTTTGTTGATCAGCAGTTGCTTTAGACATAAAGTAAGTAAATGTACTTACCATATTTTTACAAACCAAAAGTTAAAATGACATGCTTGTTTACAATATTTCGGATTTGGTGTACATCATAATTTATGTCAATTGGTATTCTAAAGATGATTTCGATTATTAGATCATAATATAAATGATATAGGATTGGTTATTTACATTAACAGATATGCGACAAAACTACTTAAAGTCATTGTTCGAGTTAGGGAATTTGGAAAATGTTTTGATTTGTCAATAATAAGGAACAATTTAAAGAAACATGTGAATAATGCCCTTGTGTCAATTTTATCTACTATAAAATCAAATTTATTTCAAATCTCAAAAAAAAAAAGAACAATCATGAAAGCTGCTTGTTGCTATTTTTTCTTTTTTTTTCCTTTACAGTTAGTCATGCCAAAATATAAAAAAAAGTCCTAAGACTTTGTAAAAAGAAAAGATCTGAAGTATATCGAGGAGAAAAAATGATGAAGATAAACACATCTGAACTTCAATTTAGCATATTGTGTTTTATATCTATTTGAAAGACCCTGTGTTAGGATATATCTGCACGCATGCACAATTTATATACATTTGTGTTATTAGATGATCGGGTATAATTGCCTTAATATTGCTAATTATTTAAAAAAAAAAAAATTAGTTATTCCTCGCTAAAAATATGCATGCCACATTATTGACACAAAAGTTTGCAACCAAAAATGCTTGAAGTATAAGTCTGCAACCAAAATGTGCTTGAACAAGATATTTTTGTGTATTGAACGTTATCTTCGGACTTGCGAACTAAACCATTTGCACAGCATTGACAGAAACATATTTTGTTATTGTTAAATGCAGTTTAAAACTTACAAATTCGAATAAATTAGGAGAAAAACCGACCAAAACAGTCACATGTTAAATTTCAAAATATCTACATGATCAATTTATATCTTCAATAACTTCGTCAAAACAGAATCTAGGATGCTGAAACCTTTAACCGAGTGTGGCATATATATTGAATTATGGAATAGACATACTAATGAACTTCAAAATAACAAAGAAACCCACTTGCCTGGCTAAAATTCGTTCACCCGTTTCAAAAATTCACGCCGTGTTTGTCATTTTGTCAAGTTTGCAACCAATTCGCTCGCTTGAACCAAGTGTGCAACCACTTCACGTCCTGCCCCTTGATACTCGTTTACAGAAAAATAACCTCTATAATTATAGAAAACGTTACGCACGCTAAATAATGTAACAACTAGCGGAGAAAGACTATGAACAACACCTCTTTGTATAGAGATGAAAAACTTAACTAGAAATTAAAAATAAATCATTATAATTACATTATCAGAATGACTTGTATCTAGAGGCATGTTTCTTTAAAGCACAAGTCCACTGTACAAAATTCGGATAAAGAGTGATCTCTCGGAAATATTTAAAACAACAGTGTTATCTGAAAATTGCAGACTTGGTTTGATTTAGCCTGATCATGAGAGAAAATTTATAAAATGCAACATCCCCCACGCCCGCTTGCACCGGATTTAGCGGTATTCAACCTTCAATACCAACGTGCTTGAAACAATGATCCCTAAAACACTGAAGTATCTTTACGGGAAACGGACAAAAGCCCTCCCGTCAAAAAATGACAAGGCGGACAAAAGCCCTCCCGTGAAAATGACAGGGAGGAAAGCAGACAAAAGCCCTCCCGTGACAATAACAGGGCGGACAAAAGGCATCCTGTGATATCAACAAGGCGGACAAAAGCCCTCCCGTAACAAAAATAAATATGTATGTTGAATAACTGTGTTTTTTCAATGCACTCCACATATTAAAATTGTTACATATATTTCTTGTTGTTTTCAATTGGCCTAAGTATGTGTATGAGCTAGACCACCTTTTATTCTGAATTTACCTTCATGAAATGTTTAACGAGGTAACATTTGTCACTATGCACTTGTGAAGTATACAAATCTGGATAAAGTGTAATCCATCGAAAGCAATGAAAAAAGCAATATTACATGAAAAGTGCAGATGTGGTAGGCAAAAAAGTAAACAGTTTAAATGAGCCGCATCACGACAAAACCAACATAATGGGTTTGCGACCAGCATGGATCCAGACCAGCCTGCGCATCCGCGCAGTCTGACCAGGATCCATGCTGTTCGCTTACAAACCCTATTACTAGTAGAGAAACTGATAGCGAACAACATGGATCCTGATCAGACTGCGCGGATGCGCAGGCTGGTCTGGATCCATGCTGGTCGCAAACCCATTATGTTGGTTTTGTCGTGACGCGGCTCAAATAACGCACCATCTTGTCTCCACATGACGTCTTGTCGTAGGCTTTCATACCATTGCAATATCCCGGGTTGGTCGGCCGGGTACACAATAAGGAATGGCATATTTTCGAGTATGTGTTGTTATGGTAATAGCTTGAATACTGAAAGCAGAAACATATACGATTTTGTCTTTATTCAGGAGAAAAATAGTTCAAAAACTTGGTGCCTCAAACCGAAGAAAGGCATTTCAAAAAATAAATATGCACAAATAGATAACCATAGGTAGGGCAGGATAATGCAAATGCGCGTAGTATATTAACTGGCATTCGTTAAGTAGTTGCATACTTAACAAAATGAAGAAATTAAAAAAAAAAATAAACAACAACAACAACAACAAACAACAACAATGTTATAAACAAAGCATAAACAAAACAAAAAAATAAAACAGTCGGAAGACAAAGAAATATTTGTCTTCCAATTTCAAAGTTTTATTTATTTCGAGAACTAATTACGCATATATCACAGGCGTCATAGCACCAACAGATTCTTTCAAATATTTAAAAAATATTTCCATTATTGATGCTGCTGCTGATACTGTTATTGTACAACAAATATCGGAAATTTATAAACAATATAGGAATCTTTGTTTAAATATGTCATGAAGATCCAAATAAATAATCTGCCGAAAGGGTAAAAACCTTTCTAGTTTTGTAATATCTGCCGTATTGTCCGCTTCTTGAATTTTGCCATTGTGTACACCGGTCTTATATTTGAGACCGGTGTGTATACAATGGAATTTTGTAGTAATAATGAAATGCATTACCCTACACATGTACGAGCCATCTCCAAAGTGTTGTTGACATTGTGTATCCGCCGGTACAGTATGTGTAGTCACGGTTCTACATGATCCACAACATTTATACTTGATGTCACCTCGCAGACAGTTATACTGACCATCCGCTACAATTTCCGCGCATGTTTTATTTCCATCTACAGCCCCTTTCTCGTCCCCGGCGACGCAAGTATCACCTGGAAGGAAGATAAAGTGCGTGTCTTATACAGTATATGAGCCGCGTCACGACAAAACCAACATAGTGCGTTTGCGACCAGCATGGATCCAGACCAGCCTGCGCATCCGCGCAATCTGATCAGGATCCATGTTGTTCGCTGCCAGTTTCTCAACTTGTAATAGAGGTGGTAAGCGAACAGCATGGATCCAGACCAGACTGCGCGGATGCGCAGGCTGGTCTGGATCCATGCTGGTCGCAAACGCATTATGTTGGTTTTGTCGTGACGCGGCTCATAGATCTTTTCTTACAGTGGATAATTTCTTAAATGCTAGTTAACACTGCCATGCCTCAGAACAAATATTGAAAGCGGTGTCTTTAAAAATGAAAAAAGTACATGATTATTGCAAATAAGCACTTAAAGTATTATAAAGGTACGGTGCGTGCAAAATGGAATTCAAAAGTCATTGCAAGACAATCTTTGCTAACGTGTTACAAATTCCAACATCGTGAAAAATGTTTGTTTTTGACTTGTTATCGTCACACAGCGTTATCGTAATTTTGACGAATCGTCTTATTCCCCGGCTGCTCAAAAAACGCTTAACTGTCGGCGCATGCGCAAAGTATAATGTTGTTTTTTGTAACAAGATACGTACTGAAGGATTGAGATACTCGACTGTCCTTAACACATTCTCCTGTCTTGCACCACTACAAAATAAAATGTCTTCAGTTGGTTTACTTGATATCAACATATCACGAAATATTTAAACAGAAAGTGCGAATGATTGATATTTGATTACAATTTCGTTGGTCTTTAGGTTGTATTTGTCCGAAGCTTTGAATTGGAACAGTACATTCATAGATTATGAGATTTCAATATAAAATTACGAAAATTAAACAATCATAAGTATTGAACATGGTCTGACAGAATGCCTGCCACTTTACTGGTGACAAAGTTGAGTCACTTTCGGTTCCAGCATGCCCATGAAACTATGATAAATAACAATCCGGATGCCTTTACTTTATGGCATCAGATACATGCATTCTCAAACACGTGTGAAGTATAATATCTGATCACGTGATAAAATTTGACATTTTTTTTATAATCAAACTGAAAGTGTCTGGTTTGATGACGTGACCAACTGAAAAATGCTTGCTTACTGAGCCAGTTCCACAAGGAATACCGTCCCCAGCGTCTGTGTAAGTACAAAACTTTGAATAAGGATTGTAGCAAAACATTCTCCTACACATCCCTGTGAAATTCCCGTTATATTTGTCCTGTAATGTTTTATATTCATTATGTCATGAAATGTGTTTCTAATTGTATCTATAACTTAAAAAAATATATGATAATAAAAGAAATTACAATCGACCAACGTAAAGCACATTCTAGACCAAGGACAATCAAAGACCAAGGAATTTCATTTTCAAAAGAAATATGAGGAGTGCAAGTAGAAAAAATAGTAACTCAACCTGCAAAAGATATGGTCAGATAGAAAATACCTTGGTGTGAAGAAATAATATATTTAGAAGAACTATTTTATCTTATATTAAGCAATTATTTATCGTTATATAATATCAGTGAAGACGACGTCGAAGGAAATTATCACTAGCGGGTCAAAAAAGCAGTGCCTTTATTTAGGTGCTTAAATAGCAGATGAAATGTCCAGCTGACAGTGTGGGACATTCAACGGACAATTTGTCATCAGAATGTCCACCGACGCAGAACAGGTTCTTTACTAGGGTTAACGTAATAGAAAGGTCCACACTTTTCACCAGGTGTGGAGAGGTGGTGGTGGTGTTGTTTGTAGTTTTCACTCACGGCAGTTTGCCACATTGAATTTACCAGAGCACAGTAAACTGTTTAGCCACCACATCGTTCCTGGACAGGCTGTCAAGCAGTGTTCCAGTACCATTTGCCTTCACTTACGCAAGGAACTGAAACTTCTGTACATGCCAGAGTAGAGGTACAGTGCGAATGACCGTAGAAAGGACTTCATGACAGTGACCTGCACCGTCCGGGAATCGAGCCCGGGTCGCCCGATTCAAAATCAAACGCTCTACGTATTGAGCTAACCGGACGGTATATGAAACAGTTTGAAAACTTGTGCATAATGCAACAGTTCCATTGAAAGATTCTTCAAAACGTAGCACAAGGTACATCAATACTGGGTCAACTGTTACCGTTTTCAAAGTTGTGATATACCGTTCCAACCACATTATACTAGTACTACATTTTGCGTTCAGTATCCTTTTTTTGCTTCATTATCCAAGTGATCTCTAACAAACATCTTTGTTTGATTTATAAACTAGTTAATACCCGACAGAAGTACGATCCTTTACCGCTATATCCTACACACAGCTGGTCATGAGTGAAAACCTCCCCCACCCACTTCTGAGATGCATTGTAAACCTCCATGTTTACATGGTTGTCGTTCACGCTTGCTAGACAATTATGATGTTCGCTACAAAATATAAGAAAAAAATATCTAGGCTTATAATGTGCTTTGTCGTACTTTTGCTTCACAAAGACACGATTATTTGTTTGGGTCGTCAGACCAAACAAATAATGGTAGCGAATTTTCAGACTCTAATGCTGTTAATTGCAAATGCCGAAAGTAGTCCGCTTTTTTGAAGCGGTTACTTCCCTTTTATATGTAACACTAAGACCGAAAAATTCAGGGGAGATCACTGCGTAAATATGGTCACATGACATGCGCATTAATTTTCAAGCAAAATAATTCCCGAATGGTCGAAGATTTCTAATATTGTTTTATTCTTTATAGATATACATGCTTATAGTAAGCACCATGATTATTTACACAAGTGTTGTTAGCGTCGTTACAACCCCTAATTAAGATTAATATGCTTTTCTTCGGACAGTTAACATATGAATTCACCGTGGCCGAGGGGTTTGCGCGCTCGCTTAAGAAGAGAGAGGTTTGGAGTTCAAATCCCAGTTAAGGCAATTTTTTTTTCAAATTGTTTAAGTCAAATAACCATTGGATTGAATATCAGTTTTGCAATTAGTCTAATAGTCAATCTACTACAATAAAACGCTGGAAAGCATTGGTGGGACTATACAAAAACAAATTGTTTTATAATCTCACAACCTTCACCTTTCTGACATTCTGAGACCCAAACAAATTCAGCGCCTTCTGTGCTTTGATTTTCGTCTGGCGCCATGCGAAGCGAAAATACGACATGACACAAATCAGCCACCATAAAAATACTTATATATAAAATCGATATCATTTTAGGGAGTAAAAATGTCACAGAAAACACAAATCAGCCACCATAAAAATACTTATATATAAAATCGATATCATTTTAGGGAGTAAAAATGTCACAGAAAACTGAATTATAATTTTGTTGTTCTATAACTTTGACATGCGTATTCTTAAACTATTTTGAGTCATTTGCTTTTTTGTTCTTTAACAGTTGTAAGTCACTGAGACATTTCGGATCAGAGGTAGTTTAAAGGATATGGTTCGGGTTCCTGACCTAGAATACAGTAGCCATGCAAGGTTTGAGCAATAAATATGCATGTATGCATTTTATTATTACATATGACCTTTCGCAACATAGATACATGTATATAGATTTTTAAAACAAGAAGTATATTGCGCTTATCACATTGGCGAACTGGCTATGACAATCTTTTAAAGCAGTCACTTTTTAAAGCCAATAGGTCTATAATAGAGGGTCTGGAATACCACACATAATTATGTTGATAGTATTTAGTATAATCACGAAATAAATTCAATATGGATTTATTGGTAAGATACTTTATTTATATATGATAGCAGATAATAAATTGTTCTAGAACAAAATATTACTTTCATCATATAAATGTATATTCTAGATCATTTAAAACTATTATCATCATTTATATTGCAAGAAATATTTAATGAGGATATTCAAATGATACATTTCTATGGTTTGTATCCATATTTGATATACTAGCTTATGGTAAATGTTTCTATTGTAGACCAATCGACAAGATTGTATCCTTCCCGAACGAGCCCTTCTTAAATATTCAGATAAAATCTCTAAATCCAAAATAACAAAATGTAAGAAATACTGTTAAAAACAACCTATTAAGCTTAGTGATGAAATTCCTTATATATTGCACTGAACACGATGAAAACGTCCATTTTCTTGTACTTGTCATGGAAAGTTGGGGTGCCATTACATATCCGTCTGCGCATGCGTTATTGTCACCATCATGTTCACATCCGAGACTATTGTACATGTATAAAAAAACAATTGAAGGTAATAAACAATTTAGAAATGAGCCGCGTCACGACAAAACCAACGCAATGCGTTTGCGACCAGCATGGATCCAGACCAGTCTGCGCATCCGCGCAGTCTGATCAGGATCCATGCTGTTCGCTATCAGTTTCTCTACTTGTTATAGGGTTTGTAAGCGAAAAGCATGAATCCTGATCAGACTGCGCGGATGCACAGGCTGGTCTGGATCCATGCTGGTCGCAAACGCATTATGTTGGTTTTGTCGTGACGCGCCTCAAATGTTTCATATATAACATATTTCATACCATACAAATATTATGTTATGTATGATAAAAATTATTGTATGATGATGATAATAATCATCAGCACTTTTCCCGTTCAATCACAGTTACTTTCTACATAATTTTATAATTTTCATTATCGCATTGTATTTTTTTTATTTTCCAGGCTGTGTACTTAAAGTATTTATCATCTGCAATCTTTGCTGACCATATCATCACATGAAATGCATATATAAACATTAATGAAATCATAATTAAATAACATATAAATTTATTAATGCATATTCCACTTATAATTGATTATTACCCGTTTTTAACCTATTTACGGCACACACATGAGATTTTGCTGTACTGTACAGTATTTATGTTATTACGCACTGTACTGTACTGTAATGTACTGTACTGTATAAACATAAGTTGAAATTAACTGTACTGTACTATGCTGTATGTAAATGTACTGTACTGTGTTGTACCTGTGTTGTTTTATACTGTACTGTACTGTGTTGTGTTTAACTCACTGTGTTGTGTTGTACTGGTATGTATGATGTGCTGTACCGTGTTGTATTACTAGTATACGCTGTTATACTGTACTTTGTTGTGCTGTGCTGTATTTAATATAAATACAATGTATTATCAAATACAGGCTCATTTCCATTTTAGACTTAAATTAAAACAAAAATCACCGATGTACATACGTATGGCCTAGCTCATGGGCAATGGTATTGGCTGTATACATGTTCCTTGTCTCTTTAATTATAGACTGACTTTTTGGTTTACATTCCGAAGCCAGAAACGTGTTCCCTGCAAAACAAAGCAGACAGAACATTGTCATATAAAAGATTAATAATATAATAAACAAACAAACAACAATAACAACAAGAGCACCGCTAGGCGGAGCATTATATGTTTTTTTTTAGTAAGGATGAAGCATTTGTAAGACATGGGAATTAGCTGTTCATCCTATAAAATTTTACAGATGTAGGTTGATTAATACTTAAGTTATTAATAATGACCTTAACCTTTGACCTTGTGACTCCAAAATCAATAGGGGTCTTCTACCTTATATGGACAATCATCCTAAGAAGTTTGAATATTGTGGGCCAAATGGAACTTTAGATATGCTCCGGAAACTTTTTTTCAATTTTAAGGTAATAATGACTTTGACCTTGTTATCCCAAAATCAATAGGGGTCTTCTACCCAATATGGACAATCATCCTATGAAGTTTGAATAAAGAGGGCCAAATATAACTTATGTTACGCTCCAGAAACTGTTTTCAGTATTAAGGTAATTGTTACCTTGACCTTTGACCTAGTGACCCAAAATCAATAGGGGTCTTTTGCCCAATATGGACAATCATCCAATGAAGTTTGAATATTGTGGGCCAAATGGAACTTAAGTTATGCTTCGGAAACTGTTTTCAGTATTAAGGTAATAGTGACCTTGACCTTTGACCATGTGACCCCAAAATCAATAGGGGTCTTCTACCCAATATGGACAATCATCCTATGAAGTTTGAATATTGTTGGCCAAATGGAACTTAAGTTATACTCCGGAAACTGTTTTCAGTATCAAGGTAATAGTGACCTTGACCTTTGACCTTGTGACCCCAAAATTAATAGGGTTCTTCAACCTAATATGGACAATCATCCTATGAAGTTTGAACATTGTGGGCCAAATAGAACTTAAGTTATGCTCTGGAAACCAAATTGCTAACGGACGGAAAATTGCTAACGGACGGAAACTGTTTTCAGTTTTAAGGTAATAGTAACCTTGACCTTTGACCTAGTGACCCCAAAATCAATAGGGGTCTTCTACCCAATATGGACAATCATCTTATGAAGTTTGAACATTGTGGGTCAAAATGGAACTTAAGTTATGCTCCGGAAACTGTTTTCAGTATCAAGGTAATAATGACCTTGACCTTTGACCTTTTGGCCCCAAAATCAATAGGGGTCTTTTACCCAATATGGACAATCATCCTATGAAGTTTGAACATTGATGGTCAAATGGAACTTAAGTTATACTCCGGAAACTGTTTTCAGTATCAAGGTAATAATGACCTTGACCTTTGACCTTTTGGCCCCAAAATCAATAGGGGTCTTTTACCCAATATGGACAATCATCCTATGAAGTTTGAACATTGTGGGCCAAATGGAACTTAAGTTATGCTCCGGAAACCAAATTGCTAACGGACGGAAACTGTTTTCAGTTTTATTGTAATAGTGACCTTGACCTTTGACCTTTTGACCCCAAAATCAATATGGACAATCATCCTTTGAAGTTTGAATATTGTGGGTCAAATGGAACTTAAGTTATGCTCCGGAAACTGTTTTCAGTATCAAGGTAATAGTGACCTTGACCTTTGACCTTTTGACCCCAAAATCAATAGGGGTCTTTCACCCAATATGGACAATCATCCTATGAAGTTTGAACATTGTGGGCCAAACGGAACTTAAGTTATGCTCCGGAAACCAAATTGCTAACGGACAGAAACTGTTTTCAGTTTAAAGGTAATAGTGACCTTGACCTTTGACTTTTTGACCCCAAAATCAATAGGAGTCTTCTACCCAATATGGACAATCATCCTATGAAGTTTGAACATTGTGGGCCAAATAAACCTTAAGTTATGCTCCGGAAACCAAATTGCTAACGGACGGAAAATTGCTAACGGACGGAAACTGTTTTCAGTTTTAAGGTAATAGTGACCTTGACCTTTGACCTTTTGACCCCAAAATCAATAGGGGTCTTCTACCCAATATGGACAATCATCCTATGAAGTTTGAACATTGTGGGCCAAATAGAATTTAAGTTATGCTCCGGAAACCAAATGCGGACGGACAGACAGACAGACGCCAGGGGGTATAACATAATATGCCCTTTCGGGCATATAAAAAACCAACAACACCCAATGTATTTAATACTGAATTGTTTATCAAGTATTAGCACATAAAAGTAAATACCCCACTTCGACAATGTACAATGGCTTGATTGTACCATGGTTCAATAAAAATGATGCAGTCGAAATTGAATTAGTTGAGGTTGCATATCATACGACTATACTTTTTGAGGAGGAGGACTTTTGAACACCACTATATGAACAAAATTATGAACACGTTCTGTAATATTTCATCATTCACCAATAGTTCCAATATCGTATCATACCACATTCTCTTAATAATGATTGATGCGTTGGTTTGATATATGTATGATAAGCCATATTGCCGTTAATATGATCTGCAGTACATTTAAGACAATACTAGTATATCAAGGTTAAAACATTCAGCTAAAGGACAGCCATTCCATTTATTAGTTGAACTATCGGTGCTCATAAATTATGCTGTTACATCAGCTGAGATTACTCAAAAGAATATACGGTTTTCACGTTGAATATAACAACAAATTGTTTTGTTTTTCAAATCCATTGTAGTTGACAGTTTCATTTAGAAACATTCATACCTGCATAGAAATGTGTTCCATTTGAACGATGAGTCATCGTGTATCTGTAAAACATAACATTAAATAATTACCACGGTGATTTTGTAAAATGATATGTACTCTTATTAAATCAGAAGTATATCTAATGTTTTTCTTCCTTAGCCCACACGCAAAATAAATCGGGACAGTGTAGGGGTATTGCATTGCTTCCTTAGCCCACAAGCAAAATAAATCTGGACAGTGTATGGGTATTGCATTGCTTCCTTAGCCCACAAGCAAAACAAATCGGGACAGTGTATGGGTATTGCATTGCTTCCTTAGCCCACACGCAAATAAATCGGGACAGTGTAGGGGCCATTTCTTTAACCTTCTGTCTGTCCCCACACTGCCATGTCATGTGACTTCGTTTTAGTTTTAAAGTAAAAACATTTGGAGATATTTCCAACTTTACGTTCGGTTTATCCAGAGGGGATGTGATTGCCCCTACTGGGTCTTTTTATGCACAACATTGTACATGTATATACACGTTTTCACACAAAGTATAGCTGGTGTCCCTAATTCAAACTTGCGTTTCGGCTGTGTTTTTCCGACTTTTAGGGTCCCGCGTTTTTTCCAAATATAACAGTCATAGAACGCCTAGCTTAAATTTAATTACGAGAACTAGAAAATTATTGTGAAAAGTATCATGACTTAAACAACAATAACAACAACAAACTAGATCTGACCTAGTCAAAAGCATGGCATGGTCATGTGGTATGGTTTTTTGTAATGCCAGGGACGTAGGCTTAAACAATGGATGTACGTCTCTATAGTCTATCATGTAAGTTGAGTTCATCTTGAATTTCGTCGTCTCTGTCCACGGTGAATCTGCGACAGTCTGGGTAAGATATGTTTATAGACCATTGGTTTAGTTAAATTTGTTTCATTCAAGATAAATTATAAATAATAAAATATCTATTAAGCATAAGTTTTCATTACATTTATGTAGCCATTTTATACGTGCATGTATATACTGTTATATGATACTTTATTTTCCAGAATAACTTTACCAAAAGTCGTTCATACCAGAGGAAATATGTTCTTATCATGGTTTAAAAGACTGATATTGAAATAAAATAAAATGTATACAATATTAAATTTCACAATTTTACAGGAGTAAACCGTTGCGTAGCAGGTACACAAATATGTATGTACTTACCGTCATTACTCTCAAATCTACCAGTTTCAACGAAATGAACAAGTTGTGAGCTTCAAGTTCTTTGTATACAAAATTTGCCTGGAAACAACCACAGCAAAAGAAACAATCCCAAAAACAACAACAACAAAACACAGAGTGTATACATGTATTTACATACTGTTTTAAAGGAACGCCGTTATTTTTTTCTGGCATGTTTGGGTTTGTAAATATTTATTCAATATGTTTAACTATTTTATTTTAGGTTTCTACCAATAACTTGTACGAAAACTATCAGTCCATTCTCTCGCATAATCATATTATAATCATATATACAATATCTATTTTATCGTGCAAAATGACTTAAAATGGACGCTTTTGACTTAAATCGTCCTAAGATTTCCAATACATGTATAATTCTGTGTATATTTCATTATCATTTTCTACGGACCATGTTGATTTATGATTTCTAAAATAAAATGTTTTAACGCTTTTGGACCTCAGCTGAGTTCCTTAAAATCTCAGTATATCGGGAATTCGCTTTCTGTTCCGAGAACATAACTGTATTCTTGATATTTGCACACTTTCAATCAAAGAAAGAAACTTTTTTTAAATATTGCGCTCACATCTCTGTGTGTATTTAAATATTCATTTCTTGACGAGGTATAGTTCATATTTTTCTAAAGTTCACATCATTATAGTTCACAGATACACGTATTTATTTTGGATAATTTTCTATTAAAAGATAAATAAATAAAATTCATGGTTGAAAATAGCGTGTCTAAAACAGTTTTTAAATTAGATAAATGAAACTTACTGAATGAATAGTGGTCCCAACCCATGTAGTCAGGTTATGCTTGGCTATATTAACACGTGTAGCATGCGGGAGACTGGAGTCTGTCGTCTTGTACCATCTAATTACATAATTTATAACATTGTTTATATTTTATACACATCGTAGAAATATAATTATTTCGTAAAGTTTATCTATCTAGAAAAGGCCTTATGAAATGACACGTTTGTAAAAGCTTCGTTGCTTTGTTTATGACCAAGAATCTGCCTTATGAAATTACATGTTTGTAACAGCTTCGTTGCTTTGTTTATGGCCAACAATCTTTGTAATACTGCATGTTTTGTAACGTCTGTTTTGATTGGACGATCGTGACTTTTATATCATACATGACCACGACTGTATGAGTGTACGAATTGATTTTCACTTTTTTCTCAGACCGAGAAATTGTAAATTCATATTAAGACTTTGAACTGGTTATATATCCGTGTAAAAAAACGCTTAATAGCTGTATAACCATTGCTTATTGGCTCGGGTTATAAATACTGTTAATAACATTAATACAGGGCTTAAAAATTGTTAAAATTGTTTATAACTGATAACATAAAGTTTGTATAGTTAACCATTCATTACAAAATGCCGGAAATTGCCAGGTGATGAAGATAAAGTAAAAGAGGAAAAAATTTCACTAACTCGTCAAATACGCTGTAGTCGGCCACGGCCACAATTTCAATCACTAAGGGCGTGTTGGCACGGGTCCCGATGCTTGACTCAACATTATTTATAGCCAACCCTAGAATGCCAGTCAATACAGATTTTAATTTCCAAAGACTCGCTGTCAGCTAGGTTTGCAATTGAAAATCAACAACATAACCAATAGATATAAATCAGTCCTAAACACGTATGGTCAGCTTAAATTACGGAATGTAAAATTATCAAAAACTCTGAATTTTCTTTAGATAAAAAAACAAACTGGCACTGTATAACAATACATAAAAGTTTACACTTTATAAATTACATTAAGACGTTTTAGTAAATAATCAATATTTCTAATTTTATCAATATTTAAATTTAATGACCAGTAACTTACATCCCAGCAACAGCAGCAAAGTCCCGTTCCACCCGAAGGCTCGCATGACTGTTTAACTTAAATAAGAAATTCTCCCTGTGATTAGTAAGTCATGACTTATATCTAGGTCAAACATTATCATTTCATTTTATTTCATTATCAAAATGCTTATTAAAGCGGCCTGTTCAAACTCCATGATAAATTTAGATTTTTTTAATTTTTGACAAATTTAGGAATTGTGCAAATTCGTTAAAAAAATTTTAACATATTATAGTAAACAATACTATACAATTACAATATTACCTTCGCTTAGCGACCCGAATAATACATGTAGAGCTGTACGCTCTTTTTAGTTCGGTTTTACGTCGCACCAACACAGTGTAGGTCATATGGCGACTTTCTAGGCGAAGTAAGACCCCAGGTTCCCCTCTGTACATTATTTCAGGCACCCGAGTAGAAACACCGACGTTCGAGGAAGCAGTATACAGTCTTTAGAACAAAAGAAATATGTCGTTTTCATAACTGCATCATGTTATTCTTTAGAAGCAGAACGAATTTGCTTAAGCTTTGTAGAAATACCATAATTTTGACATTACAATTTTACTTGGCATGAATAAACAGCAATAAAAACTTTATTAAGCCATACACTACGAGACAGTTTATCATGCCTGTGTAAAGAACATGGTCACAGTTTACTTATCTTAGTCACGGAATGATTTCAGTGTGTCAAGTATCTTCCTTATCTATGAGTGTTCAATCTATATACTTTAAAGTCAAACCTATGTTAAATACAACCTCTAAATAAAGAAAGCCTTGTAAATAAAGGTCACCTTTGCCAATCCTTCATTAAGAGTTACCTCCAAATAAAGACCATTTGTCTATAAAGGTCATGTTCAGTCTTTCCCTTGGATGAACTTTGTTCATAGATTTGATTGTATTTCTCCTCACACGTGTATCACTTCGTCGTCCTTTTACCGCGTTAGGTACTGGGTTGTCTATGTTTTCCCAAAGACATATAAAATTTAGCTCATTGGCTTTGTTTTTGTATTCATGTGGGTATTTTGGCCGCCCGTAATTCCTTCAGAAACCAAAACTCTACAACTACCACTACGGAATCGACCATGATTGATTGGGTTTTACGTCACATCGACACAGTATAGGTCATATCGCGACGTTCGGGTTGGTGGAGGAAGACCTCAGGTGCCCCTATGTGCATTTTTTCAGGCACGAGCGGGCACCAGAGTAGAACCACCGACGTTCCGTACGCTAGCTAAATAGCTTCCTCACATAAAAGAATCCAAGTCCCTGTCGGAATTCGAACCCACAGTGGTGAGGGGCAAGTGGTTTGAAGTCAACGACCTTAACCACTCAGCCACGGACGCCCCCCGATTCGATCATGCTGTCTAGCACTAACAGGGGCAAATTGTTCGCTTTGAAGGGGGGGGGGGGGTAAAATTAATGGCGACCACAGTGTATTTATGGCTGAATCTAGACTCGTCTGATACAAGGTCTGAGTTATAATCTCGGCTAGTCGCCAGTCCGCACAGCTCGACCGTTTAGAGTGTTAGTATGGAGGTTATTCGCTGCCTTGAAACTTGGCAATGCATACTTCGGTTCTACTAAACAGATTAGTAAAATTCTAATTGTCGATCCGAGAGTTATATACTGCACTGGTATTAAGCATTTTGATAATCTCGATTCGATAAAATTGAAACTGTAAACATGCAACTGAGATAAATGTAAACTGTATTTATAAATGTATAACTTCAAATTTGCGACATGTAGAAATGTAAATGATATAACGTACACAATACGTTCGTTTAATTAAAATATTCTTGTATCAGAAATAATTGTTTTCAAATTCATGAGAGCAATAAATTTGTTATGTAACAATTCTACAATGTAACAAGAGCCACCGCCGGGCGGGGGCAACGCTCGACTTTTTACTTTTTCTAAATGCAAACATAGAAAGGTTTGAACATATATTGATGTTTCCTTTTTATAAATTTAGTTGGTCTGTCTTGTCACATTAGTTTTGTTTATATATTTTGTATATATATGAATAGAAACATTAAGCATATTTCTAAAAATAGCAACAGTACGCAATTTCTAAAAATAGCAACAATGACGCAATTTCTAAAAATAGCAACAATGACGCAATTTCTAAAAATAGAAAAAATGACGCAATTTCTAAAAATAGAAACAATGACGCAATTTCTAAAAATAGAAAAAAATGACGCAATTTCTAAAAATAGAAACAATGACGCAATTTCTAAAAATAGAAAAAAATGACGCAATTACTAAAAATAGCAACAATGACGCAATTTCTAAAAATAGAAAAAATGACGCAATTTCTAAAAATAGAAAAAAATGACGCAATTTCTAAAAATAGCAACAATGACACAATTTCTAAAAATAGAAAAAATGACGCAATTTCTAAAAATAGAAAAACATGACGCAATTTCTAAAAATAGAAAAAATGACGCAATTTCTAAAAATAGAAACAATGACGCAATTTCTAAAAATAGAACAAAAATGACGCAATTTCTAAAAATAGAAAAAAATGACGCAATTTCTAAAAATAGCAACAATGACGCAATTTCTAAAAATAGAAAAAAATGACGCAAATTCTAAAAATAGCAACAATGACGCAATTTCTAAAAATAGAAAAAATGACGCAATTTCTAAAAATAGAAAAACATGACGCAATTTCTAAAAATAGAAAAAAAATGAAGCAATTTCTAAAAATAGAAAAAATGACGCAATTTCTAAAAATAGAAAAAAATGACGCAATTTCTAAAAATAGAAAAACATGACGCAATTTCTAAAAATAGAAAAAAATGACGCAATTTCCAAAAAAAGAAAAAAATGACGAAAAAAAAGAAAAAAATGACGCAATTTCCAAAAATGACGCAATTTCTAAAAATAGAACAAAAATGACGCAATTTCTAAAAATAGAAAAAAATGACGCAAATTCTAAAAATAGCAACAATGACGCAATTTCTAAAAATAGAAAAAATGACGCAATTTCTAAAAATAGAAAAACATGACGCAATTATATACATGTATATATATGTATATATATATATATATATGATATATGCATATATATATATATATTTATATATATATATACCTGCATATATGTATATATATACACACACACATTTATATATATATATATATATATATATAATACATATACTATACATACACACACACCAATAAATGCACAATCTGAGAAAATTCAGTAATATAACCTTCAAGGTCAAGGTCATTAAAGAGCCCAAGCAAATTTTGGTTTGATAAACAACAAGGTCTGGTCCTTAAGAATGTTCTGTTATAATATGAAGTTTATCCCTTCAAAAATAGCAAAGTTACAGTCAGTTACTGCCAAAACAATGAAAATTTCAATAATTTGACCTTCAAAGGCAATGTCATTAATGAGTGAAGGTCAAGGTCTTTCGGTATATTTTTAACAGTTATCTTTGAAGATTATTATGTTCAAGTTTGAAGACAATCCATCCAAAAATAACAAAGTTACAGCCAATAATAGCCAAAAAAATGAAAATTTCAATAATTTGACCTTCAAAGTCAAGGTCATTGATGAGTGAATGTCAAGGTCTGACTGGTTATTTTTAAGGGATATCCTTGAAGATTATTATGTTCAAGTTTGAAGACAATCCATTCAAAAATAACAAAGTAACAGCCAATAACAGCATGAACAAGCAAAAATTGGACTTTTAACCTTGAAGGTCAAGGTCATTTATGGATGAAGGTCAAGGTTAGTGTGGTCTACTGAAAGGTCTTGTCCCAAGGGTTGTTGTGGCCAAGTATGAAGACAATACACCAAGAAATAAAAAAGTTATGATCCAGGTACAAGTTTTCGGACGGCAACGGCAACGGCAACGGAGACGGCAACGGCAACGCCGACCTGACTATAACAATACCTCTACTTTTTTTTTCAAAAAAAAAAAAAAGTCGAGCTAAAAAGGGAGAGTAATCTCCTCTTGGAAAGTATCAGATAAGCACAGAAGAGTTGTTTCCCCTTGAAAAAATAAAACTTGTACAGTTGTACAAGAGTTTTCACCCCTTACATCATATCAAAATAAAATGTTTTTTTTTTAAATATGCCAAACTTGAATATTATCTATGATAAAAGAGGCTGAAGTATGAAGTAAATTAACCAAACATTCAATGTTGGGCAAGTTTTTTGGTACAATGAGAACAATGCCAAGCAACCACAATAGCTTCTTCAGATAAGCTAAAAATCTATGTAATAATAGTAGATGTATAAATAAATGATTTTTAACTGGATCAGTTAAAGGGACTCCACTCAGGTCCAAAAGCCTAAAAACCTAAAAATTAAATTTCTCACATAGATCAACTAAGGCACTTAAAACAGAAATATGAACAAAAGTGATTTGAGTGAAAAGCATTGCAACGCTTTCCAATTTTTGGGTAATTTTTCACAAATAGAATAGCCTTTCAGGAAAATTGTATCAAGCTTATAAATAATCTAAAAGTTTTTACAGACGTTGTTGGTATAGAACTACATGAGTAATAATTTTGAAAAATAATTTTCAGTCCCTTTATGTAAAATAAAAACTCAATTGAGTCCCTTTTACAAGGTAAATATCTTTGTATTAGCCACAAGACAAGCATCAATACAAATGTCTGAGGACAAATAATGAGTCAATATAAAATATCACTCATGTTATGTCAATTTTATTAATTTTCAACACTGTGTATATATTTCCAAAGTTATCTCCAGGTCTTGTAGTTGATTAATCAATGTAATGATGACAGAAATTACAGCACAACCTCTGTAGAACTTTTACCCCTTTATAATATTCTTTCCTAAAGTATGTTCATACAATAAATGTAACCTCTGCAGAGCAATCACCTCTCTACAACATTATCATTTTTTTGCTGAAGTAAGTGAAGTAAGACTTTAGAATTATAAACCTCTGTAGAGCAATCACCTCTCTACAACAACATGTTCATTACTTTCCCAAAGTAAGACTTTAAATCAAATGTAACCTCTGCAATCACCTTTTTACAACAACAGTATCATTTTTTTCCCAAACAAATGTGATATTCAATAATCTGATTAC